TATTTAAAGCAAACAATTAAACAACAAAAACCTAAATATCCCTCCCCTAATTCCCTCCTATTTACTTAATTATCTCCCTCCCAAATTAGCCCTCAAATCATCCCATAAATCTGTCATATTCAATTATGAAATATTTCCTAATTAATCCCCCCCAAATCAGCCCCTAAATATGACCTCTTCAATTAGGAAACATTTCCTAATTAATTCCTTTTAATTAAAAACCTTCCTAAACAACTCCCTCTTGATTAGAAAATTTCCTAATTCCCTCTCAATCAAATTTGGCCAGTCTATCATCATCTTAACAAATCATACGACGAGTTTCATCGTGCAGTAAACCAAATTATTCATAAGTGCTAACTACATTGTGATTTTAGTCTCATCTACTTACCTCCACAAAAATTATGGGCTAAATCACTTGATCACCAACAACAAACCTAACTTCATCCACAATTTGATCCCTTGAGATGATGATGGTCCGTATGAAGATGTTATGATGATAGATCTTATTGATGATGAACGTTATAATGCTGATCCTTGTGAAGATATTTTTTGATGATAGACTTGACTAATGATGAACTTTATAAGGTGATCCTTACGAACATGTTTATAACAAGGCAACTCTTTTTTATTACAAATTGGATAACTCTTAGTTATGAAAACCTAAATTTCAGACTACACATAAGATTCACACTAAATATATTATCTATGATTAAGACAAAGCTTATGTCCAATAACGCCCAAGCTAGATAATATTATTCAACATAATACAATGTTTCAAACAAAAAAAAAACGAAGATTGTTTATCTATTTCACTTGCCATAATTTCAAGAGGCATACATTACTTTAAACAATTACAATTAGTTGCACCTACTAGAAATCGAATTCATGTTATTGTTACAATCATCATCTCACCTAATTCATTGTTGATTCATATTACAAAGATCTTACAAGTACATGAAATTTAGAACTACCAAACCTTAGTGCCTTCGTAAAACTTTAGAAGAAATTGAAGATGCCATTTCTGATGATGATCCAAGTCACACTTGCACATCTGCCACATCAACGCTTCTTTTGATTCAGATTATCGAGTTCAACTCTTTGATGGCACAACATCAACATTTTTGCTTATTCCACAACCAATTGCCAATATTTGACCAAAATGTCGCTTCTTACCATTTGAACATCAAGAAAATGACTCAACCAACTAAAAAGACAATTCTCCAAGTCGTGACCACTCTAGTAAATCCAATTTGTTTAAATGAGTAGCTACTGTTAGAGGTTGACTTCATTTGAGAAGTTCAGCACCTAGACGTGATCTACAATGTTATCATGGTCCAAAAATTTTATAAGAACTAGTAGATGTGCGTTGACTTTACAAATATGAACCAACTACCAAGCCTATTAGAAGGACAATACCTTGTGAATTGATGCTCTTGTCGACTCAACAATCAACTGTTCTATAATCAGTTTTCTCAATGCTTTTTTAGATTATCATAATGATTCGACCAAAAGAAAGATAGAGCAACTTAACTGTGCATGATGGACAACATTTTCAAAGAGCAAAAGGGTCGAAATATTGAATTTTATGCTGATGAACAATTTATGCTGACGATTTGTTCATGAAAAGTAAAGCCCCAAAGAAGCATGTCGTTGAACTCAAGAAGAAATTTGCAATTCTTATGGCGTTGACCTCAAGGAGACATTGCAATTCTTAACAAGTACCATCTTTGGAGTATGATCATAAAAGTTTATGGGCTTCCTTCTTACTCCCAAAGGCCTCAAAGTGAATCCTGACAAAGTGCAAGTAATATTGATAGTATTGCCACAAAAATGATTGACAACTTGTGATAATGTTATGTTTGAAATTGTTTTTATCTTTAGGGCTTTATTACTGTTATCATTCTTTTTTTTTTTTTAGCTTTATTTTCTTTTGTCATTTTTATTAATTACTTAAAGTTGAGGTGGAGTGGTAAATTCTCTTTTTTAAGTCTTGAGGTTGTTAGACCGGTCCACTGGACCGGTTCAGCCGGTCCAGGCGGGACCGGTTCTCGGGCGGAAATCGCGAATAGGCGGATCTGGCGGAGAACGAGCGGCCCGTCCGCCCCCGTAGAGCCGTTTAGGAAGTTTTTTTGAGCGTTTTGAGAGGGAAATTTGAATGTAGGGACTGTTTAGGGAATTCCTTTTGATTTGTATGCATTAAATAGTAGATTTTCCTAGGGTTTGATCATCTGGAATTTGGCTGAAATTTGAGATCTCGTAGATTTAGGTTTCTTTGGGCTCTAGCGGCGTCTAGAGATTTGGGAGAGATCGATCCTCCTCTCGAATTGAGGATCAATTGTATCTTTGCTATTTTTCTTGCATCAACTAGTAAAATACAAGTTGTTTTCCCAATTCTCTCTCAGATTTTCCCTGTTTTTTCCCACTGTTTGCTGTTTTTCCTGCTGCGAACAGCAGTTTGCATCGAGTTTCTCTATAGAAGCGATTTGGAAATACTTGAAATCAAGTATTTCCTATCAGAGGTCTATAAATACCTTTCATTTCTTTTGGAAAAGGAGTTGGATTGTTTTCATTTCAGATTTTGAAAATCTAAAAGGGAGGGAGAAATCTCATTCCTTGGGGTGGATTTCCCCTAAGCTTGAGAGGAAAGGAAGTGAGGGTTTGTAGTTGAGTTTGGGACACCAATATCAATCTCCCACTACCGTTGCTCTCTTCCACCATCAAAATTGGATACCGCCCAGGCCCCCAACTGTTCACTATTGCAGGGGGTGTTCGTAAACGTTCCAGCAAGAAACGTTCTTCCATGGACATTTACGGGTCAGCAGCCTTGGAAATCTTCAAGAAAGATCCAAAAGAAAATGCAAGAAATGTGCTAGTTTTTCTTTTTTAATTCCTGCAGGGAGGACTTTCTTGTAGTCAAGAAATCAATCTTGGATCCAATTGAAGCCTATTCAGGTGCAGATACAATTCTCCAGAGGAATTCCTAACAACCATTAGCAGCAAACCAATTAATCTACCTGTTCTTGGAAGATGACAAGCACTATCATCCAACAAACGACTTAAAAGAAATCCTAATTTTCTGCAGCTAAGTCATTTATCAATGTTATCAAAGCTTATCAACTTCAGTTTTCTCCAACTCTAATTTGGTATTTGATTTAAAAAGAATTATTCATTAGTTTGTAAGCAGTTTTTGTAGGATTGAGGAATTTGAAGGTGTTCTTCTGTCTTTGTTGGTTAATCATTCTTCATTCTTATTTCCTCAGTGTCAACTTGTGGGGTGAGTATTATACCTAAATTGCTGATCTCAAAATATAAAGACAAGTGTTCTCCATTCCTTAAAGCATTGAGAAAAGAAAAAAAATTTCAAAAGACAGAGAAATGAAACAAAATATTCACACAATGGAAATCTTTAATTTCTTCAGCACCTCTTCTTCAGAGCCCACAACCAAATGAAACTTGCACTTTTGTCTTGATGGGCAATGAGATAGTTAGTTCGATCCTTAACAAAAAAGATGGAAAGAAGCAATGGCTATTTACTATATCAATATATCCTATGTGGACCCCCCTTGAGTATAGTTTTTTATATGATTCTCTAACTTCTTTTAGATGTAAACATTTCAAGTAGAAGCCAAAGTACGACTTCTTCTGGAGATCATCATCCAATGCGAACCATCAGGTAGCTTTATACCATAGAGCATGAGCATCATCTCATTGGTGCGATAAAGCATCTTAAGTGAGTTATTTTAGTTTATTTTATTTATTAAATGTAAATATTAAAAAATAATAATAATAATCATCTAAATTTTATTTAAATGTTAAGCATTTCATATTTTTTGAAAAATTTTGTCTAAGTTTTAAAAATCCCGCCTAATTTTTAAAAAACCCGCCTAAATTTAAAAATTCCTGCCCATGGCTGGCGAGCCGGCTCGAGCTCATTTACAGTGAGACGAGCTCGCCTTCCATCTAACGAGCCAAGCTCGATAAGGGCATAAACTCGACTCGACTTGACTCGTTTACACCCCTAGTTACAACTAGGTTTCTATAATTTGACTGTGGACTTATTTTCTTCTTTGGGAATATGGATGATCTTACTCTTGTTGTACTTATTAATCTCATATTTAATTTTAGCAAGATAACAATTTAATATAGAATCTCATGAAACAACTCCTCTCTACTTGATACAAAAGAGTATTTGGGAGGACTTCAGTGAATGACGAGAGGCGGATAATTGGAAGAGAAAACTAAAAGATAACTCTTCAAATAAAGACATGCTAGAAGCTGGCAACTTGGAAGTCACCTCCCAAAGTTTGAAGGTTTTGGGAAACATCTTGAACTTGAGTGCATCAAACACGTCATAGAGCAAGAAAGCATTCGTGAAGACATTTAAGTGCTTTACAGGGTCAATATCACCCTTGAAGCCAACGGGATGAGAGCCTTAATATTTACAAGGACATGCTCAACCAAGATTTCAAGGATTAGAGGAGAGGCACGAGATTCATCGTAAGGAGTTCTGCAAAACAATTGCATTCTATGAAGGTGGGATGGGTTGTTTCCACTTATCTGAGGAGATGATGGGAAGAGTAACAATTGGGCAATGATAAGGGAGAACATCTTGATTCCAACTCTAAGGGTTATGAGTTAAGAGGGAAAGTTGCGCATTAACCTGAACAAACTGATCATCAACATCTGTTTGTGTGGCATATAGATGGGCACAACAATAGGAGTCACTTGGGGTGGAGTAAAAACTTCTCTAACTTAGCACACAAACCAGTGATTGTTGGTGGTAGGGAAGTAGTTCATGGCGTTAGTGTTATCGACCTAGCGAATACCTTTCTGAACCTTTTTGAATCAAAGGAATTCTAACAGTTGTTCCAGATCAAAGCTAATATATCCATCCATTCAACAGACAAAATAGCACAAGGTATGAAAAGAAGAACCAATTGAATACGCGCGTCAATTTTCACTTAACAGGATTATAGTATTCGTGAAAAGAAAATTAGAACTACCTCAAAGGGTTTAACATTCACTTGTACTTGATTTCCATGACGCTCTTAACATTGGGTGCGTAAAGGGAGTATAACAGCACTTGCCTCCTTGCGATGTCGAGCTGTGAATTGCCGTCAGCGAAGGCAGCGGCGACGGAGGCCGGATCGGAGAGGTGGCGATTCTCGCGGAAGCCATCGATTGTCCTTCTCCTCGCGTACTCCCTGATGTTGAAGTCGGAGAACTTGGAAGCAGTGCGAAGAAGCGACCGAAATAGACTTAGCAATTCGGCTCTCGACGCAACCACCATCGCTGAAGCCGATGCCGCCATGGCTGAAGTTGGGGAGAATCGTCCTATACTTCCTAAACCCTAAGATATAAATAAGCTTATTTTTTTCCTAAAAAAAAAATACTTATTTCCATTTGAAACCTCAGCATTTTAGAAATTGCAAAATAGTTCCTAAATATTCAAAATTATATACATATAAAAAGAATCTTAGACTGTAAGCTCGCTGAAATCGGAGTTCATATGCTCCCGAAATTAATTTTTGAAGTTTCCAACTAGGTTTTGCCTCGAGATTCGTGCCCGATCAAGATGATTTTGCGATGCCGTATCAATCATAATATAATATTGATACATAACCAATAAATTATCTTTGATCGGGCACGAATCTCAAGGAAAAATCAAGTTGGAAACTTTCGAAATTAAAATTGGGGTCATCTGAACTCTGATTTCAACAAACTTATAGTCAAACTAAACGTCTTGAAAATACGAACACAATGACACCAAATTCGACTCAATCCAAGTCCAAATGGGTCTAAATCATGGACCCGAAGCACTGTTGGAAGGTTCAAACCATAATTTGGATTAACAAATGGTTTTTTTAACATGACATGCTTATAATTGAATCACGCGGCTCGACGAGACGAATCCAACAAGCCCAAGATCATGAAATTCCGAACTTGTTACGACTTTCAAATGTCTAACGAACGGTCCATGATAAGGGGATTCAACATTGGTCGTCCATCCAAACTACTTCCCATTTACCCTTGATCTTCCTCCTATTTACGGGTCATGCCATTTTAGGAAATATATAAATAGACTCATCATTCCTCTTGGAGAGGGACCCCCTAAGCCTAAGGAGAAAAGAGAGATATCGAAGATCGCTCTTGTATCTTGGACATTTTCATGTCAGTTACGTTCCCTGAGGTTGCCCTGGAGTTCCACCGGACCACCCCTAGAGGCCATGAGTTCCGTCGGACCATCACTTGAGGCCCGGAGTTCTGTCAGACCACCACCTGAGGCCCAAAATTTCATCATACCACCACGTGAGGCCCGGAGTTCTGCCGAACCACTACATGAGGCTCGGACTTCCGCTGGACCACCACCTGATCCTCAGACTTTTGCTAGACCATTACTTAAGCTCGGACTTCTATCGGACCAGCACTTGAGGCTAGATTTCTTCTAGACCACCACCTGAGGCCCTGACTTTAGTCGGGCCACCACCAAAGGCCTGGAGTTTTGCTGGACCACCACCCGACGCTCGGAATTCTACCGGACCATCACTTGATGCCTCGAAGTTATGTCAGACCATCATTTGAAGCTTGGAGTTCCGCAGGACCACCATCGGACACTGGACTTCCACCAGACCACCGCCCGACGCTGAAGTTCTGCCAAACCACCATGATGCTATTAACTGACACCCAATTTTCAAGTAGCACTGGACTTCTGTTAGTCCGCCAAGGGACACTGGACTTTCATCCCCGTTTGTCATTAGATTTCAACCATACAGTTGGCATTTGTAATTTGATCGCCCTCAAGGACGAGTCAGCCCACTATAATATACTTAAATTCTAGTGGAATCATTTTCAACTGGGTCAAGCCTCCTGTTTTTTCCCCTTTCTAGGGTTTTCCTCGTAAAAAAATATTTTGTTCTATGCATGTGAGCTAGATATCCGTACAACACTAAGATGTAGAATTTTAATTCTATTGCCACGTATACTCTAGCCCGAAACAATATAATTATGTTAAAAAAAATAAAAGCTATTTTAAATAAGAATATGTTTAATATAAATTATAGGATCTTTAATAAGATATAAAATAACGTTAGGGATACTTTATTTGTAAAATAAATTCAAATTCTCATAATTTTTTATTAAATCTCTTCAAATTAAAAAAAAAGCATGAAATATTTAATATATATTTTTTATTAGTTGCTTGACAAGTGTGATCACAATGCACAAATTATTTTGATTGCTAAATGATGATGAAAAGGTCTTCTTTCCCACCTTTAGAGTAAAAAAAATCATTAAAAGTTGTTAAAAGTTGGTTAATAAAACTGAGAAAAACAGATTCCAAATTCATAATCCGTTAAATGCTTATAATAATCAATCACAGTTATTAATTTATTCGAAACCTTAATAGGCCAAATTGTCCAAAAGAGCAATATCAACAAAACCGCATTTTTTACTTCTTTTTTGCCATAAATTTCATTGTTTTTCCTTTTTTTTTTAACTGATTAAGCCGAGGAGCCACAGAGAGGGAGGGAGGGATCATAAAAGTCAAAAACTGAAATCTTTGAATCGAATCGGCGAAAAAGTTTCCAGCTTGAATCTCCAGCTGCGCTTTCCGGCCTCTGATGCAAGCCGATCCGGAGTCGCCGCCGAAGACCTCCTATGGTGATCAAATCGAGCTTCTCGGGAATTTATAGTAACACCGCAGCAGCCGCTGTCACCGTTGCCGTCGAGAACACGACGACGAGAGATGAAGAGCTGAATCCGTGGCGGCGTTGGCTCCTACGATGCAGATTAGGTTGTCGCCGAGCATGAGAAGTATCACTATATCAACGAGCAACAATGGGTTATTTGATTTGATGAAGGTGAAGGTCTCTGCTCGCCATATCTCTTATCGGATCTTCCACATCGTCCTGATTCTTGCTCTCTTGCTCCCATTCGTCTTCATCCTCACCGCTCTCATAACCCTTGAGGGCGTCAATAACTGTTCCTCCTTCGGTAAGCTTCCTTTTCTCTTTCTCTATCTATCTATCTCATGATGGATCCAAAGCTGGGGATTGTCGATTTGGTATAATGGATTTGGTTTGGATGATTGGATTTTTACTCTTGCTGGATTGATTGATCTTGGGATGAGGGGGAAACTGTATATTTGGATTGGAGGATGTACAAATTTGAATTCTCTTATAAGGCGTCTACCCTTTTTAGTCATAACAGTCAATTCTTCCCTATGAGAGTATATTCTAGTAAGACTTCTAAATTGGATACCATCTTTCGTTTTTTTTACAATCAGTAACCAGTTCAAATTTCTGGCTCTTATATATTTTTGTACGACTTTGGCTTGTTAGCTCAAGTTTTTCTATTGTAACTGAATTCATATTGAATGGTATATCTGTATTACATCTTTAGTTCTCATGATTTCTCATTTCTTCTTCTTTACTCTGGATTATAAGCTTCTATTCAAAAGTTAAATATGTGAAAAAAAAAACTTTCTGAAAAGTCGGTTTGTTTGATATGAGAAGTATTGCTATTTTGAAATTTCACCTTTTTAATGACTTCATGAGCACACGAACTGATTTATGAAATAGCTCGGATTTTTATGTTGAAGTATGATGATTTTAGTTCATATTGTTAATACATTAGTGCATATCTAACTGTAATATTCTTGTATTTTTTCCTTTATGGCTTAGATATCAAGTTTACAGATTATAGTGGATGTAAAAGCAACAATTCTGTGACTTAATTCGAAGTTGTTGGCTATTTTGAGTTGAATCTGAATGGACATGATATTACACGGTCTTTTAATATTTTTCTTGGCCCCTCTGCAATCTAGAACTACATCTAGTAAATGGTTATCATCTGAAAGTTCTTACCTCTCCATATCTTCATGAGAAGCTTTTGGGTCTTCTATGATTTTTTCTTAGCTGCTTAAGTACTTTGGTTAATGTATTTTAGGTGCTGTATTAATTTGAAACCCGCCTCACTCATTCTTCCCTATTTGTCTGTCTTACCGGGAGCTAACATTCTCTCTATTCTAAATGCAATACTTTTTTTATGTTTGTCTGCTTTGTAAGCAAAATGTTCATGTTATGGATATTTGGTTAGAAATTCCCAATTATTTACATTAAATTTAGAGTTTTTTCTATGTTCAGGGTTTAGTAAATGGATCAATATTTGAAGAGGAAAGAATGGGTAGAGATTTATGATGACAGACTTCTTGCTTATCCAGGGCTTTGACCTTCAATTTGGAGATATGATGTCAATGATATTGATAGAATTCGAAAGAAATATTTGGAAATAGTAATGCAACATTATTAAAAATACAAAATAGATTAAGAAACCTGTAAGCATTACTCAATTCATCGATTATAATGATATATAAAATTTTGTCTTAATTGTATATATATATATATATTTTCATATCAAAAATTATGCATGCTTCTTAAAATGTATAGGATATAAACAAATTGATTCAAAACCACAAAATAAATCATCAATTAAGTAAGTTGGTCATTATTATGTTATCAAGCTCTTAACAAACTACTTGTCAAACCACTAGTTAAACAATAATGAGCATGTTCTTGAACAAGAATAAAAGAGTAAATAAATGTTCAAGTTTGTTCAATTATCTAGATAAGTGAACATAAATAAGCTTTATATAAATGAACCTCAAGCTGTTCATTGATAACACTTGTTCGGTTACAGCTTTAAGGTGCAAATATATCCTTTTGAAGTACAATAACTACAAAAGCATTATGAGTTATGACAACTAATCTTATTCATAGATGACAAATCCTAAATAGTAGGGATGAGTGCTAATATGCATGATTATTGAATTTATATTTAAATGCATCTATGTCTCTCAAATAATTTGTGTGCCTTTACATGATTCCAAGTCAAATGAAGATTCTCTTCCAACACTTTTGAAATGTGTCGGTTATATTTCTTTGTTGGTTTCACCACAATTGTTGTACGCATGAGCATGATAATGATTAGACGTTTAATTTTTTGAATTATTTTTTTTTTATGCATCGAGTGGTGGCATAATACTAAGTGTTGCAAAGATGAGGATGCTCAGGTGGATGAGTGGATTTACCCTTAGAGACAGGATACGAAATGAGCATGCACGTGAAAAGGTTGGAGTAGCTCCACTGTAAGATAAGATTAGAGAGAGTCGTCTTAGATGGTTTGGTCACATAAAACGACGGCCTTCCGATGACCCGGTTAGAAAAATAGGGGTATTAGATTTGACTTATATTAAGAAAGGTAGAGGTAGAGATAAAAAGACTTGGTTAGAAAATATTAGAAATGATCTTTCTTTATTAAATTTAAACGAAAATGTTACTTTTAACAGGATACAATAGAGAAAAAGGATTCATGTAGCCGACCCCATGTAGTGGGACTAAGGCTTGATGTTGTTGTTGTATCGAGGGGTGGCATAATAGATGTATTTTTTATGTTTTTTTCCCTTTGTCACTACTACTAATTATTGTTTACTGAGGGTTTGGCCTAACCTATTTTATTTTCTGGTTCAGTTTGTTTGGGAAGGAGGCTGGGTCCAAGATTTCTTGGTAGTGGTGATGATGATTCAATGGTACCCTAAAGAGACTTCTGCCCCTTTTGTTTAATTTTCAAGCAGTCTATTATTAAATGTTTACATTAATGTTGTTTGAATTTATTTGTTTCAAGGAAATAACATAAGCTCATGACCAGTGAATATTGCTTCATTTTTGCAGAGACTTATGAGAGATTTATATAAACTAATAGATCAAGCAAATGCTGTGGAAATCCCATCAGGCATAAAATTTCCAGAATCATTTAGCGAGTTTCTTTCTGAAATGAAACATAACCACTATGATGCAAAGACATTTGCAATCATGCTGAAGGGCACAGTATGTAACTAACTATACTTTTTCTTTGTTTCCGTTGTTCAAAAAAAAATTTTTTTTTTTCATTCATCACATAGTATATTATGTGGATTTACTGGTTGATGCTTGCTTGACTTTGCCTTTATAAGATAATTTCCTTGAATATAATTCAATAGAAAAAAGTATTTAATCACTTGGTAGATCGTACTATATGTGGGCTATATGGAGGTGGGTTTTGCTTCCTCTAGAGCTCTAGAAATGGTTATTTCGTGCATTTCCTGGGAAGCCTTCAACAGATGAAAACTTGGAACTACTTATTGTTTGATAAATCTAATTTCTGCCTTATTATTTGTTAAAGTTAGGATTTTGTTAAATCCTTTTTTTTATTTATTTGGCGGGGACGTATCTGTTGTGACATAGGGCCTGATCTCAATGGATCGTGACAGTAAATGCCACTCTGCCACGTACAATACCCCGTCGCGAATTTAAGTCATATGCAAAGGATTCAACCCATCGTAAAAAAAAAAACTTGAAAAATGAAGATTTTGTTAAGTCCCTTTATTCACATAATTTAGTGGATTTTAGGGGTTTTCTGTATTACATATCTTAAATAGTGAAACCAATTGTCAAACAATTTATCACGATTTAGCAAGATTTAATAATATTCATGTCAAACAATTTTAAGGTTTTAATCCACTTAAGATTTACTAAATCTGGATTTTTCGATCAACTAAATCCTAGTTAATTACTACTTGTAACCAAACAGCCCCTTCGTGTTCTTCAAAGAGCTTTAAGTTCAATTACTTGAACTTCTGTCTTGCAGATGGAAAATATGGACAGGGAAGTAAAGAAATCAAGATTGTCAGAACAGTTGCATAAACACTTTGCCGCAATTTCTATTCCAAAAGGCCTCCATTGTCTTTCCTTAAGGTTGACAGATGAATATTCTACCAATGCACTCGCAAGGAAACAATTACCTTCTCGTGAAGATTTGCCCCTTCTCTTTGATAACTCCTACCACCATTTCATTGTAGCTTCTGATAACATTTTAGCAGCTTCTGTTGTGGTTGGCTCAACGGTCAGGTCTTCACTGAATCCTCAAATGATCGTCTTTCATGTTATCACTGACAAGAAGACATATCCAGGCATGCACTCATGGTTTGCTTTGAATCCTGTTTCTCCAGCCATTGTTGAGGTGAAAAGTGTTCACCAGTTTGAGTGGCTGACAAAAGAAAATGTGCCTGTGCTGCAAGCTATGGAGAGTCACCATGGTGTAAGAAATCATTATCATGGAAATCCTGTCTCAGGCATCCAAGCAAGTGATAATCCAAGAGTTTTTGCTTCAAAACTGCAAGCTAAGAGCCCGAAATATATTTCTTTGCTCAATCATCTTCGCATATATCTTCCCGAGGTAATCGAATCAACATAGACAAGTTATATGTTGTCTTTGTGGAAGTTAAAAAGTGACTTTTAGAATTTGAATCTGAAAGCATAATTGAAGGTTTCAAAAGGAACTGTAATTCGGAGCAATAATGGTATATCTTGCTTTGGAAAAGCGTTTCTAGGAGGAGAAAATGTAGAAGTACCGGTTAATATGACATTTTGATCCATTCTGAAAGCCTTTTTCAATATTTAAAAAGCAAAATTTTCAATATTTAAAGTGCTATAGCCTTTTTCAATATTTAAAAAGTCTTACAGCAATTTTTTATAGTTATCACAGTCTAACAGATCTTGTTGTTGCAGCTAAGCAGAACTTTGACATCTATCTTGAAAGCAAAACTGTAAAAAATTGTCAAATATGCCGTTACTTTTACTGAGTTGCTGCAAAGTACTTTAAAAATTCCATTCTAAAAGCAATTTTTTCAAAACAATTTTCTCCCGAAAAAAAAAAAACTGAGTCTCTTTCTACCCAAGTTAAGGATCCATTTTGGGTGGCTACAAAAACCATTGTATGATTGTTTTAGTGAAAATATATTTTTTGTAAACTTTTGTGGATATTATAATTTTTTCCCTATTGAAAAAGTTGGATTAACTTTCTTATTATTATTATCATACTCGAGGCTTGAAAAGTAGCAAGAGATCGAGGTTTAGTCAAACAGTATTGTTATTGCTATATCAAAGGCAAAGCCATGAAAATCAGTTCCAAACGGTCCCTAAGTGCCTCTTTTTACTGCCAAATTTATCAAATTTCATGAAAAACTGTAAACCATACTTATTCCACATATCAATAACTTTTTTTTCTCTAAAATTCATGCAAACAGCTCTTCCCCGAGCTGAACAAGGTGGTCTTTCTTGATGATGATGTTGTTGTTCAGCGCGACTTGATCCCACTTTGGGACATTGATCTTCTTGGAAAAGTAAATGGTGCTGTTGAAACTTGTAAAGGCGACGACGGCTGGGTTATGTCTAAGCGTTTTAGAACATATTTCAACTTCGCTCATCCTCTGGTATCGAAAAACTTGGACCCCGACGAATGTGCATGGGCCTATGGAATGAATATCTTTGACTTGAATTCATGGAGGAAAACACAAATCAGAGAAACTTACCACCATTGGCTAAAAGAGGTAATTCTTAAGTTTTTTTTGTCATCTCATACTTTAGTAGGAAGTCATTTGAAATTCTAATGGAAAATAGTCAGGTATATTTGTGCTTCATGTTTCCTTTCAAACAACATCATTTTCTCTCCATATGCCATGAATTCTTCCTTACCTTTTGACTAATAAAACGCACATTTACTATTGTATGTGACAGTGTTGTATCAATATATGACAGTATTATACATAAATAGCTGCTTAATTATAGTAGCAATACTTAATTACCTTAATTAAGCTTCTTTACTTTTTGTTTTGCTATTGGTACTGGGAATATGTTCTCCTACCGAATAGGGTAAGGGGCATATTTTATTTTTGAGAAACTTTTGGTAAAGTAAAAGCCTTTTCCTGCTTTTCTTGTTCTCATCTTCTTCTCATCTTCTTCGCTCGATCAAGCGTCAAGTTGCTAGTGATGATTACCTTACCTCTGTAATTTTGTTAATTATCCAGTTGATGCCCACACACTTACAAACTTAGAATACTCACAGGTGGATTTGTTGCTATTATTAACTTATAAAATTTTATATTCCATCCTGTTAAAAAAACTAAATTTTCATATATGATGTGCACTTTCATTGAACATTCTTAACATAACTCTTTAAAAAACTTGATACTAATATAAATTCTTTCCATCCTCACTCGTAGAACAAATTAGTCTCAAGATTCTTGTGATTGACTTAGGGTTCATTTGGGACGGCTTTCTTGCTGCTTTTTAAAACAACTTTTTAGTTAAAAAATTAAAAATTTTGTACTAAAAAGCTGCTTTAAGAGCAATAAGAAAGTTGTCCCAAATGAAACCTTTGTTGCAATTCTTTACATAGTAAGTTAGGCCATGAGATTTGAGCTCAAGACCTTAACAACAAATTTCAAGATCTTTATCAGCTAAGCCAACAAACTCTCACACAAGTTCATATTAGTACTATTCTTCTAAATGAAGTATTTTTCGATGACAAACTAATTTTTTTTTTTGCTCATCTCCTTCTTCGTAGAATGTGAACTCGAATTTGACCATTTGGAAGCTCGGAACGTTGCCTCCAGCTCTAATCGCATTTCGCGGACACGTGCATCCTATCGATTCATCATGGCACATGCTAGGCTTGGGTTACCAGGAGAAGACAAACTTAAATAAGGTGAGAAACTCTGCTGTCATCCACTACAATGGCCAGTGCAAGCCATGGCTAGACATAGGTTACAGACACCTTCAACCATTTTGGACAAAGCATGTCAACTACTCCAATGAGTTCATAAGAAATTGTCATATCTTACAGCCTGTTGATTAGCTCCAGCAATGCAATATATATCTATACAAGGAATATGTTATTTCATGTTGTAAACTAGAAATTGCTGATTATTAGATAAGGAGGGTGATTTTTGGTCTTCTTGTTTTGGGGAGCACATTGCTTCCCTTTGACAGTGAAGAGAATTAACAGTTACTTTCTGCAATAGAAATTTTGCTTATATATAATTTAACAAGAAGTCACTATAACATATGCTCTTAATGATATTGAGATCAAAACCATTTTCATCCATTTTCATCAAATTGTAGAATGTGTACTTTTTTAATTTAAAATTGAGAGTTTATACTTTATAGTGATGGTGATCCACAAAGTCGCCGAGCATCAATGTTGTTACTGACAACGTGCTTTGAGCTTATAGGAGATTATGTTTATTGACCGGACCTTATAGGCAATAGCATGCATCAACGTTGGTCGCAATGATGAATAACTAATTAGGTTGGCATCAATGTTGGTATTGATGGTATACATCCGCCTAATCTATAATGACGTACATCAACATTGGTAGTGATAATGGGTGATCAAGTTTGTAGGTGTTAACGTTGATATTTGGTTTTGATGGTGGACAATGAAGTTGACAAGCTTCGATGTTTATGATGATGGTGTGTATTAGCTTTATAGACAATATTGTGTGTCAATGTTGGTGACGATGATGTCTGATGAGGCTGGTGGTAGTCTGATGGTATTGATTGGCTGGTGGTGGCCCGATGTTGGTGTTTGGGCAAAGGTAGCCATCAATGTCGATGGCGGTGATCAAGGAGTAGTGGTGATGGCAATGGGTGGGTTGCGGCGGCTCGAAGATAGAGGAGTTATGAATCAAACCTCTATGATCTCCAGTCTCACTCTATTTGTAATTTATGAGAAATGCATTACCCTTAAATAGCCGAAATTCAAAACACCCATCTTGTTAAGAAGTTCAATTTGACCATAAGCATGAAATAGCTAGAGATCAAATGACGCACATGATCCAGGCTTATTCAGACTCGGATCAAATCACTTTCAGTTGTTAGGTCCGTCTCTTTGATATATTTAGTTCAACTGCAAGATTTATAAAAAAAATTGGAATTTGAATGATCCTAAATTTGATTCTAAAAATTTCTAATTTCAATATAAATCAAGATTCATACTTAATCAAACAAATTTTCTAATATATAATAAATCAGTTCCTATATATAAAACCTCTATAAAAATATCATAGGTACTATTTTAAGAATTCTAAATTCTTTGTTTGATTATGATTATTTATGATGAAATTTGTCAAAACAAAACCTCATAAAATATATAGTTTGAAATAATCAAGTTGGCTTACAGGTTTTTTTCAACTAAAAATTTTTGTTTAAAAAAATAAAACAAAAAGTTGGCTTACAGTACAATGTCATAAAATTACAATAAACTTTTCTATCACAGAAGCGAACAAATTTCTTTATTATATTAATTACATAAAAAATCTATGAATGCTTTAAGGGAGTAACAAAATGGATTCATTAGGGCTATTTGGAATTACTTTTTTGTATTCATTTTATTAAAATTAAAATTCATTTAATATTCTAAATAAATGTTATAATTAATTTATTTATAATTAATGTATTAAATAAATTATTTAGCTATTTATTTATGAATTTTTTTCTATTTATAAGTAATTAAACGCGTCTTTAAATTTACATTAATTATTATCTAAAAATGGGTTAGTTTTGCAAAGCCTAAATATAAGTATTTTTTAGCTCATTTTTGTTAAGAAATGTGAAAATATAAGGTTCAATGTCAAATTAAATAAAAAAGGCCTTGAATTACACCAAGTAAATTTATTAAGAAAAAATAATTGTAAATTAGGAAATATAATATTGCTAAAATAAACAAGCAAGAGAGATAGAGGCTATTGTGCTAATATTTACATTGCTAATTATCTTCTAATCTTGGACGTATGAGATCAAGGTTTTGTTTGTGATAACTTTATTCCTTCTTCTTAAAACGACTTTCTAATACAAAATTTAAAATTTTTGTACTAGAAAGCAGCTTTAAGAATCAGTATGAAAGCCATCCCAAACGAAGCCTAAGGCTTGATTTAAGATATTTTTGTAAAATAATTTTTTAGTAAAAAATTAAATTTTTGTAAAAAAAATTACTTTAGAAAGTAATAAGACAAACACCTAGGCTATTATCATAGGAGGAGAGATTATTAGGTGCGGAGTGCGGACGGGGAGAACCGTCCGCATAAGCCTTATTCCGAGCTAGGTACCGGCACTCGGTACCGTTTGGTACCGCTGGATATTGCTAGGTACTTATATTTGTGCGGACGGTGCACACTCCGCACCTAATAATTTTTCTAGAAGGAGACAACACTAGCATACTCAACCACTTCTGACAAAGCTTTCACAGCAGCCTTTGGCAAGCAAGGCCTTGTGTTTTTGCTTTGCTTCCATCTAGTAATCTTCCAACACACTCCCTGACACTAACAAAATTGCAGATTTTTGTGCACATTTTACTTTAAAAATAATAATTTTGTATGGAAAATATAGTGATAAAAATAGTCTTCCTTCCCTTTTTTTTTTATGTTATTGAAGGAATATGGTGATAGCTTTTTGCATAAATAATTGTAAATTTTTGCAACTTTTTGATATAATAATATAAAGGAGGATTTACACACATACCACTTTATTTCATACTATTAATATATCTAACACTTAAAATTTTAATTTTATATTCCTACCACTTATAAAAAAATTTAATATCAAATATATCACTCATATATTTTATTCTTACCACTCATACCATCCTATAAACTTAAATATTTCATTCCATACACTCATACTTGTTCTTTGGATAGTAGGCCTGCAATATTAAAATTTTACGTATTAGATATATAAATAATATGAAATAAAGTGGTATGTATGTAAAATCCCCTAATATAAAATGTAACTTTTAAAGCAATTAAAAAATAATTTATAAAAATTATTGTTATCAATTTGATCATAAATAAATTTATCTAACGTCTCTATTGGACTAAATTGATATATAAAATTATTTAAAATTTATTTTTAAATTATTTGAAATTTAATTATTTAAAATATATGATAAAAAATATGCATAAATAAGATATTAAAATACTTCTCTTCTACCTTACCTTTCCTCATGTTGGAAGCTTTGTCTGTTTGTTTTCAGTCAGAAGCTCAAACACATTAAAAATTACTAGAACGAACAGAGTTATAGTTAGTGCGCTCTTCAAAAATTTTTTTTTTTTTGTGGTTTTGGGTTGATTTGTTTAGATAAAGGTGGGGCGGCGATTTGCCATTAAAAAGAAGAATCCAAAGCTCCAAAGACAAAAAAGCTACAGGTTTTGTGAAGAGTTTTGAGAAAAAGCATCTCCAGAATAAGAAGAATCTGGCGCAGGTGGAGAAACCCCACAAGCTGCCTTCCTCGAATCCCTTTCTTCCCCCGTCGATGCCCTCTCGGTTGATATAAAGCCATGGAATTGGGTCGGCAATGCCCTCATTTTTGTCGCTACAGCGCCATTTATCTGCAACGAGCTTCTTGGTTTCTGTCGTTTAGATCTCGTCGAATTCCTTCTTTTTTAAACGGGTGAGCTTTTCTATTTGAGTTTTTGGTTGAAGTAGCGTTCATTTGGTGGCAACTGCTTTCGAAGATTGTTTATGCTCTCTTGAGTTTGAATCATTCTGATATGACTGAATCTTTTGTGCTGAAAGCTATACAATTTTTTTTTTTGTTTGTCTTTTCTGATAGGGAGAATGTTCAGGTTTTGTATGGTGTGAAAAGGAGTTGTAATTTTTAGGGAAATTATCAGATAGATGGCTCTATCAGATTCTATTGAATTGTATTCTGCTTAATCCCTCTCTTGTTACTGTCAATAATCGGTTTTGTGCAATAAACACTGAATGTTTTTTATGATTAGTATGAAAAATATATTTAGAATATCACAATTTTGCACCATGTAACTTATGGATGACTTTATGAGAGCATATGAATTGGCTTTAGGGATAGCTCATGTTTTTATGTGGGTAATGGTGGAAGTAGGGAGGGGCTACCTGGCTCTTACTCCCTTTAGATTTCAGAGATGTTCTATGTAGATATGTATAATATGAAAGATTTATCTTTAAATTATACTGAATTCTGTTCCACTTCATGTAAAATTCTAATTATGTCATTGATACGAAGATATAATAGTTTTATTTCATACAACACGGAAAGCCTTACGATTAATTATTTTGTGCGGACGTGCTGTCTGGAGACTAATCAGAATGCGACAAGTCACTCCATCGTTGTGTACCGCGGCTCGGTACCGTTGACGTGACTACACCTGATTCGTCTCCGGATGTAGAGCTGCGTCCGGCCTACGCACAGAATAATTTCTCATTTTATTGACCTTCTCAGTTTTTAGGGTATTGATTATCTGATGATATTGGAGTTCCATAGGAAGATGAGAAGAAAACTCACTTTGTTTTGTAACTAGGTCAATGAAGTTAATGGATTTGGTTTGGCATTTTTATGAAAGCTAGAGTACTAGTGTTGTTAGCTATCCTATCTTGAACCGATTCAAAGCTTTAAGTTATTTGATTTGATCTTGTCTTTACTGATCTGAGTTAAACATGGTTATAGGTCGGCTCAATTAGACTAAGATACGGCTCAATAACATTGATTCAAGCTCTATTTGAATCAGTAATATATGTATATATTTACAAATCTATGTGTGGGTGCGCGAGCGCTAAGTAAAATTGAAGTACTCGCATTAATATATGTGCAAATCTATTAATGTATATACCTTTTGATCCAGTCTCGAGTCAACTTGATCCGATTCAAACTCAGCTCAATTCAAATCTGATCCTACCCAAACTCAACTTGTTAGTTGTTGACTTTTCAATTTGAGCTTGATCTGAGTAAAAGAAAAATAATCCTTTTTCTCAAGTAATCTTAGTTTAATTCACATACCTAAAGAAGATGGATTCTTGCTACCTAATTGATCAGCCTTCAACCATGCAAATTTGAACTCTTCCTGCATTGGAGAACACAGTTTCTAATTAGAACTTCAGCAAATGCTATTTCTGTTTCCAGGTTAACATTAAGTCCTCAGTTGCTCGTGTTTTGAATCTATAAATTACCTCATTAGTTTATTCTTCTGGTAATTTGATTGGTTGCTTTGTTTACAAAAATTCTTTTTTTTTTTGTCTTTACTGACAAGAAACTGAAGAACCTTCAATCTCAACTTCCCCAAATAATCTTTCACTATATAAATACAGGGATTGCTTCCCTCCTTTATGCTAACTGGAATTGTCTACTTTTAAAACCAAATTATTACAGTTTATTCTGCAGATAGAAAACCAGCAAATTGGTTGGTACTATTGTTAAATATTATATCTTTATGTTTTATTCTTAGCAGCTGATATCCATTTTATTGTGTTATTTTAAAGAAGGAATACTTATAATTTTATTGCAAAAATTTCAGATTCTTTAGGCAAGAATCAGAGATACTGAAATGGTGTTGAAGCTTTTATTGCTTCTGTTCCTCTACTCCCTTCCAGTGATTTTTTCTCAAGACAATGCAAATGTAACAATTATTATCCAGGGATCTGTTACAGTGGCTGAAACTGATGATAGTTTCATATGTGCCACCATTGATTGGTGGCCACCTCAGAAATGTGATTATAAAAATTGCCCATGGGGAAATGCTTCTGTTCTAAATTTGGTAAGATTTTTGAAAATTTTCAGAAAGAATTTAAGATCATGTTAGTTTCCCTTTTGAATTACTAAAAGAAATATAAAACCAGAAATCATTTTTGTTTTTTTGTGTCTTAGGATTTGAATAATCCATACCTATCGGCGGCTATTAAAGGTATGTGTTTCTCATTGATTGCTCGAGATAATTGTGGTTCTTGACTGTTATGACCAAATTAACTTGAGGGTAAATTAAAATTCTTATCCACCTTCATTTAGGTCCTTATTGCCTTATTATTTCATGAAACACTTGAAAGTAGCCCTAAGGGGCTGCTTGGTAGCAAGATTTAGGCCGGATTTGAGCGAAATCTGGCTAAACGGCCTAAAATGTAAAACCAAATCTCACAGCAAATGAAAGTTGCCGTAGACGGGGAAATTCCGCCTTTTCGTGCTAAGTCCTAGATTTCCGAAATTCTCTTTTTTGCCGGATTTACGAAATCCGTTGGCTTGAGAGGAAGAGTCCGCTCGTTAAATCCGTTCTATAGACAAACAATCACACGGGATTTAGTAGGATTTATCAAGAATGTTACCAAACAATTTTCAGGATTTAGGCCCCTCAGGATTTCCGAAATCCAAATTTAGCAGATTTACGAAATCCTACTTACATCAAATCCTGGGTGCTACCAAACCGCCCCTAAATTCATACTAAAATGAGAGACATGTTTGATAAAGCTAGACCTACTCATGTAGACTTGAGATGATGTTAGCTCTTGTCTCTAGTCTTAAATTGCTTTCCACAAACCCTCCCAACATCATTATTGCTATCCATTGCCGAATTTTGAGGCAAGCTCCTCGCTAAGAGTGACATCACTAGAACCCTTACCCTCCAACTCTCACTGAGCTCGAGGACAAATGGATGATTGAAAATTGGCCTAAAAACTTCGAGTGAAATCTCAAAAGGCGCAAACTATCATGCTTTAAAGAAAATGAATCATTGTTAAGCATAAATTAAGGCTTTGTTTGGGACGTCTTTCTTACTGCTTCTTAAAACAACTTTTTAGTAAAAAATTAAAAATTTTCTACTTAAAACTTGCTTTAAGAAGCAGTAAGAAAGCCTTCCCAAACGAAACCTAAATTTCAAAGGATTTGCATGGAACCTACAATTCACCCTTCAAAGTAATTCCTTAAATTATACTTTATTTGGGATTGTCTTTTGTGGTAGCAAAAATAATGAACAAAAAATAGTGTTCATTTGAGATTGCTTTTTTTTTTTTTCAAAGTTTGACATTTAGAAAAACAACTTTTGAGAAAATAGCTTTCAATAACAAAAGTAAAAAGATAAAAACTGTCTCAAACGAAGTCTAGCTCTCCTCACATATCAAAATCATAATCATAATCAAACTAACCTGATTATAGAGTGGAATGATATGTTTTACTCTAGAATTTTAGACATGAAGTTAGTACTAAGTTGTGACAATTGTTGGTTTCTTGAGTATTGCGCTTTATATCTCACAAAATATTTTATTGTTTGATGAATTTTAGCCTTTAATCCTCTACGAGTAAGAGTTGGAGGCACTTTGCAAGATCGAATCGTTTATGATGTGGGAATTTTCAAACCAAATTGTGCTCCATTTTCGGTGTCGGATTCTGGGCTTTTTGGTTTCTCAGCAGGATGTTTGAGCATGGAAAAATGGGATGAGCTGAACCATTTATTCCAGAAGACAGGGTAAGTGTTGTAAAATTCCATTTGTTGTTCCTTCATTTTTTTTTGTTTATCTTCATTAATCTATGAAGTTTTTGCCAAAATATATTAGAAGTTCAAGCGAGAAGGAAAGCATAGTTGTCTGTAATATCCAATTCATTTATTGGAGTTCGATTCAGGCTTTGTTTGGGATGGCTTTCTTTCTGCTTCTTAAAACAGCTTTCGAGTACAAAAATTTTTGTACTAAGAAGCTGCTTTAAGAAGCAATAAAAAAACAGTCTCAAACCAAACCTCAATCTTAATTTGAGCCAAATTTGATCGAAAATTATTCATGGTCTAACATGCATTCATAAGTTAATAATATATGGATAAAAGCAATCTACAATTTCTTTTAGTCCAATCATGTTTTATTTTTTTCAAATTCGTTCTGGTACAGCAAAAAAATTGACTGTTTCTATTAATATTCACAGGGCAATAGTTATATTTGGTCTGAATGCTCTTCAAGGGAGACGTCAAAGCAGTGAGGGTATTTGGCAAGGTCCCTGGAACTCGAGCAATGCTCACGATTTCATTCAATACACAATTTCCAAGGGATATCCCGTCACTACATGGGAGTTTGGTAAGTCACTTCCAGATTATCTTATTCTAGGTGGTAATGACTAAGGTTTCGTTTGGGACGACTTTTTTTTTTGCTTCTTAAAATAAATTTTTAGTATAATTTTTTTTATTTTTAAACTAAAAAACTGTTTTAGGAAGCAATAAAAAAAGCCGTACCAAACGAAGCCTAAATAAAACTATAATAGTTCAGCCTGTGGCTCAGTGTTTGGAGAGCTTCAACTCCCACACCATGACCCTGGATCCAGCGCTAGCATTAGGGTGTGCATTTGTTATGTGATTAAGGTTTCGTTTAAGATAGTTTTTTTACTGTTTTCTAAAACAGTTTTTTAGTATAAAAATTTTAATTCCAAAAATTTTGTATTAGAAAACAGTAAGAAAGTTGTCCCAAACGAAGCTTAAATTTGCTAAACAAATCCAAAAAGAAATGTGAATTCTCTTCTATGTTTCAATCTACTTAATGTAGAAATCCTGTGTAATCATTTTTTCAAATGATTCAGGAAATGAGTTGAGTGGACATGGAATAGGTGCAAGTGTTGATGCAGAACAGTATGCCAAAGATTTAATTCTCCTGAAAACTATCCTTAGTGATCTGTACAGAAATTCCAAGTCAAAGCCATTCCTGGTAGCACCTGGAGGGTTCTTTAATGATGAAGAGTGGTATGCTCAGCTTCTTGAGGCTTCTGGGCCTAATGTTCTCAATGCCTTGACACATCATATATACAATCTAGGTGGAGGTGAGGATAATTTATATGGACTAAATAATTTAGATTTTCTTTTTTGTTCTTTAACAAAAGAATAGTTTAAATCATCAAGTTTATAGGATTGTTTTTCAATTCTTTTGCATATGAAAAAGGGAAATTCTATCAATACTATGCATACAATTTGCAACAAATCATCCACAAAATTTATGTTAATATTATTAATATTACTATTATTATTGCTATATGCAAAATATAAAGTAAAATTACCTTCTAAGCCCCCATAATTTAATCTAACATCTAATATTTATGTAAAGTAATCCATAATGATATAAACTAGGCAAGAAAAAGAAATTGTGCTATAGTTTCATATGGATGCAGAAACTTCTTGAAAATTTCTAGGTATAATGACTTCAAATTCATCTTATTTCAGGTGATGATCCTAATATTGCAGAGAGAATTAAAGATCCAAATTATTTAAGTGGCTTTGCAGATACATTCAGAGCTGTTCAGCTCACCCTACAGGAACATGGACCTTGGTCATCTGCCTGGGTTGGTGAAGCAGGTGGTGTCTACAACAGTGGCAGTCCTCAAGTCTCTAACACCTTCCTAAACAGCTTTTGGTATCTGATTTCTTTACCTTCTTATAGTTTGTGTTTGCTTTTTTTTTTTTTCCACTTAAATCATTTGGGGCTGAAAATCTAAAATCCAGTCAAATTTGAGTGAAACTTTACTTAGTTGCAAACACAACAATTTGATTTATGCTAGAGTTGAAGTTGACTCAAGTGATTCAAGTTGGATGGTCAGGTTAACTTTATTTGGAACCGTTCGATTCCGACTGGACTAAAAATCAGCTCTCAATTTGAATTTGATATCAAAATACTTCGTGGAGATTGATATCGATCGTCGGTTCCATTTAAGATTCATCGAGAATTGATATCAAATTAAGTTTGGGTATACTTGGCTCAACTGCAAATAAAAAAAATTATGATTCTAGCTTGATTAGAAGTCTATTTATGCAATCTATTCCAATGGTTGGTGTCAAATTGATTTGAATGGATTAAATCAAATTTAAAATCTACTCAACTTATTTCAAGTCAAAAGTGGATATTGCAATTGAGTTGAGTAGATTTCGACTTGGGTCCAATTGAAGTGATTTCATAACTTCCAAACTATTTTTAACTTTCCTGTAGACAATTGCATAACTTCCGAACCATTTTACTCAGGTACTTAGATCAACTAGGAATGGCATCAAAGTACAACACAAAGGTTTATTGTAGACAAGCATTGATTGGTGGCAATTATGGCCTCCTTGACAAAGAAACATTCGTACCAAATCCTGATTACTACAGGCAAGAACTCGAAAACTATTAATGTATTGAATATGGATGGTTTTTAATAAATTTACGAGATTCAGAAAAAATTTCTTCTTTTTTACTTGACACCAGTGCGCTACTTTGGCATCAGCTCATGGGGAAAGGTGTTCTTGCTATTGATATTAATGGTTCTCCATTCATAAAAGCATATGCTCATTGCAGAAAATCTGAAGTAAGCGTCGAATTCCATATTATATTGTTCAATAAAATCACCATATTCTCACATAAAATATATAAAGTGAGAATTTTAAAGTAAACCTGTAACTAGTGAAGAATTGCTTACAGGTAAACTTATTATGTTTCTTGTCACATGCATTGCAGTCAGGTGTCTCCTTGCTCTTGATCAATTTCAGCAAATCTGCAACATTTAACACAACTGTCCACAATGATCTGAATGTCGATCTTGTGGAGAAAGGCATTCAAAAGGATGGTTCTTTTGCCCATAATTTGAAGAGAACGGTGTCATGGATTGGAAGAAAAGTTTCAGATGGATCTCCAAGTAGGGAAGAATATCATTTAACAGCTAAGGATGGAGACTATCTAAGCAGGATAATGCTTCTCAATGGCAGTCCTCTGCAGATTACAGAATCTGGAGATATTCCAGAACTAAGACCAGTGTTGGTTGCAGTTAATGCACCCATATCAATAGCCCCCATGTCCATTGCATTTGTTGTCTTTCCAAACTTCGAAGCTCATGCTTGTGTCCCTACGCAATGATTTGCAGATAACAGATAACTATGAATTTGTAAAATTTTCATTTGTTTGATTGGTGAATATATCTGGAAATTTTCATTTGTTTGATTGGTGAATATCATTCAAGGAAGTTAAAAGAAAAGGTTGATGAAACGTTTAGTAATGGATGAATTTATTGTTGCATGTGAAAATATCTTTATTAATAGTTACTCGTTTGAATTTATTACAAAATAAAATGCATCTGTTTTGAAAGTTTTGGTATTCGATTGTAAATAAAATAAATTCTAAGTACTTGCAACCAAACAACCTCTGCAATATTTCTTAGAAATCCAATTCTTCAGCCCAGGGGTTTGGATCTTTATAAAAGGCTTGAGCTAGCTAGTGAACTAAGCTTGATGAGTGACTACTGAACCTAGCTTATTTGGCAAACCCAGGTTTAACCCATCATGTGAGCCAAATAATTGAAAGTAATTTATGTCATATATACGAATGCAAGATTTAAGACATTTTAAAAGCTGGATTATAAAGAAAAATCTTGAAACTCTAGTGCTCTCTCCCCTGCTTCCCATTCTCCACAGCTCGCTGAATCCATCTTTAAATTCTTGATTTCCTAAGAAGATGATGATTCGAGTTCACTCAACTCAAGATTAAGTTTGAACTAGATTTCTAGTTAGTTGCGAAACCTAAGGCGGCTCGCAGCCGAGGCGCTCAAGCCCCTTCTTTAGCCCCCAATTTAGTCCAGATATCCACACTATGATGCAAGCCAACCAAAGAACCACAGACAATCTTGAAGCCTACTGGCCTCCAAGGAATTATACGTATTTTATACATGTCAAAAAAATAACACATACTAAAAACCCTTGTGAAGGATTATAAACAAGATGAGTTTGAACGAACTGAAGTATTATTCAGCTTAGCTCATTAAGCAAATGAGCTAAAACTTTTTATTTATGTTTGGATTTTTAGCTTAGTAGTCTGAATATGATTTATTGATGAAGATAAACTCTAATTGAAATTCATATATAAATTATAGAATATTCATATGTATATTCACATAAATATAAATATATGTATATGTACATATATAATTGATAATTATACAAAAACTTCTCTAACTTGAGCTATACTACATCCATTTCACAGTTATCCTTCATTCAATCACCAAATGAGTGCAAACAGATATGTGCAAGCAAAAATGAACCAAAGAACAGAGGAATTTCTTATTGGCAGGAAAACTTTCTTAGCAGAATCTCTTAACTCTAATTGAACACAAGAACAGACAAGGATGGCACATTAACTTTGAAGCGAAGTAACAACACAAGCAATTTAAAAAGAGAGATCTCAGAAGCCTTTAAACATTGGTAAAAGAGAACCTTTTGCTTCAACCAGCAGTTTCCCACATACAAATTTAGACTTGCAATACATGTAAGGCACATTCACGTTGCTTAACCCACTCAACTCTTTCTTGCTCATTACAAGTAAGCTATGTTATCAAGCGTTGTACATGAATAAGGGTACCTGTCAATGTTTCTAGTCATCAAATCCGCTGAAAATGTATTTATGTCCAGATATCAAGCTCTTGCTCGTCTGCAGAAGTGGATATCAACTAAAAGCAGACTACTTTACAGTTCTCCAAATCAGGCAGATTCTGTAGTTCTTTTTTTTTTTTTCAACTGGTATTTCCAGAACTAATCACAGTAGGTTTGAAAAGCATGTAAAAATAGTACTGAATATAAGTAACAACTGTTTCAGTTTTGTTTTCACACCCGCTTAGGAAGCTAGCTGAATAAATAAATCTACAGCCAAGGAATTTAGTAAGCCATGATCGAATAGTTACATTATTCTTATTGCCTCAGTAGATGGAATATGGAAAATCAAAGAATGGAGAATTGTATCAAAGCTTTCAAATTCAGATTAAAAAAAAAAAAAAGCAACACATTGGGAGTTTGAGTTCGGCTTAAAAACTTATCCTAACCGAGCTAACCTCATTAATGGAATATTAGGTAGTTAATAACGAAAGCCTGATGCCTGCTAAAACTAAAAACACTAGTATCAAACATAGTTCCAAAGATCGATTTAAAATATTACAAAATTAAACTCAATATTTAAGAAAATAGATAGCCTTAAATGAATTAGGGGTAGTTGCTCTTGGAAAAAGAGGTCGATCAAAGAAGAAACCAAGAGTTTGAATCCCCTGAAAAAACTAATTTAATACTGCAAATTTAATATTGCATGGAGATCTGTGTATTCACACTCAACGGAAATACTAATAACTTATATACATAAATAAATAGCTGTGATGAAAAACTTCGACAATGGAATGTTATCTCTAATAATTCAATTCCTAAGTACTAGAATCCAATGATAATATAATACAGAATGTGATCTCCATAAATTGATGTGATTTGGCACGAATTTGTACTTGGTTCCTTTTAAATCAAGGTTTATACACTGCATTTTGAACTATGCAACCAATCCTCACACTTGGGCTTATTCCCCATAACTTTTGGACTTATACATCACTTCTAATACTTTTAAGTTGGGTACTTGGGTAGATGGAGATTTATATGTTCACATTTGGTGAGAATGTTGATTGAATAATTGATACTAGTAAATTTCTTTTAATAGTTTTATTTTAGATTGTAGTTTCAATTTTAAGTGTTTAGACATGCCTATGATAGATGACTATGAAAATTGGATGTACTCCCTATTAATATGATTCCATAGTATTAGTTGGTACATATGGTTCTGCACTCCAGTTTGATTCAGATTAAAACAACCTTTAAAAGATGTGGTTTGGCATATGTGACCTGTGCTCATTGTTAGAATGATAAATTTGAGAATAACTTAAGTTCACAAAAAAACAAATATCTTTACGGGCGTATTCTTATGATTCATTCTCAAACAGTCTCTTACCAATAAAGACATGGCACATATCCTCTAATTGGTAGTTTTGTTGCTAAATGACACCACAGTCAAACAACTATGATCTGAGCTCTCTAATTGAGTAATTTTATCGTAAAATAAAACCATTAAACTACGATAATAGCTAGCGCCTGCAAGTTCCCTATAGCAAAAAAACTCTTAAATAATGAATACTAGGGCATAAAACATTCTTTTAGCTAAGGTTAACTCGAATTTATTCCCTTACACAAACATTCACCCTAGACCTATAAGGGTCCCTAAGAAGAAGCAACTCATGATTGCTGATAAGGATCCTTCGATAAAGTTGGGTAGACTACCTCTCCTAACTAAACCAATTACGAACTATGATAACTCATGACGAATCCTCATCATCATTCCCCATTCACTTTAAATGAAAGGTGATAAATTCCAAAACTTATATAAAATTGTTGCTAATATACATTGAGCACTTAACACCTTGGTCTGCTTGGCATACCTTGAGGATACAACCCACGGCTATTAATTAGGCTCCAGTTATAGCTCGAAAACCAACGATGTAGGCAAAGTGGGGTAATTGATAACCCTAAGCTAACATAACCATAAGTTCTTGATAGGGCATACCTCGATCTCCATAAATATTCCACATTCAATCAAACTCAAACTTAAATACTACAATCAAGCTTAAAAATTATGTCCAAGCGGCTTCTTTAATTGCGAGTGCTCTCCCATAACTGAAATGGATAATTAATTAACTGTAAGAATTTACGTTGATAGGAATTCTAGATCCACTATCTTAATAAACCCTAACAAAATAAGGGTAAGTCTAGTTAATCCAAATTCAGTATTTTTCAAGAAAAACCGCTACTAGGTTCTCATGCACATCATCGGGCACAAGAAAGGGCATTTTTCCTTGCCAAGTAACTTAGTTTATTTGTCTAGGGACATGTTTAATAAGCATTTGAAGTTATGGAATACTATTTTCTGGCCTTTGCAAAAAATAGAATAATACCGCTCAATCATTAATTGATCTGAATTCCTGAATATTTCTAATATGATCGTATAAGTCCAAATTAATATGATATGTACGTGTTAAATGCAGAGAGAACCCAAACAAAAACGTGCAAAGGCCTTCCAAAAATATTACAATGACAAATTAAAAATTGACATAATTGCTGGAGAAGCAAGAGAATCACAGATGATTCTCAAGACAAGAAATGTACTAAATACACCTAAATAGATCACGAAATGTACATTTATATAGAAAGCGGAAAAAAATTTACAATATGGTCAATATGATTCTCAAGACAAGAATTAGCAAATAGACAAAATTCTGAGCAATAGAACAAATACCAAAAAACAACATCCTCTATGCCTGGCCCTATGTAGTTTCAGACCTCAAAGTTCTGAGATCAGCCAATTTAATCTTCTTGAATTTAGCTTGAAAGTGTCGAGATGCAGCAACACCAAAAAAAAAACGACTAAAAAAGCAGAACCTGCTTGAAGATACAAAATAAAGAAATATTAATTATCAGTTGCATCAGAATCATAAATAAAATAGTTGGCATCCAAATGACATTGCATTGTGCTAAATTACAACTATTGATAACAATCATATAATTTGGTAACTGATAGAAATCCATGGAACATATAGTTCATCAATTCAGTCAATATCATTGCAAATTTTCACAGGCCAACTTCGCACCTATATTCAAACTTTTTAAAATATCGCTAATATTTTGAAATTGAAAAATGATCCACCCTATCAAAAATAGACATAACATCCATTCTAGAATATATTTTACAAAATATGCAATTGCAATAGTAGAAACTCAGGTCATACTACCAAAATTTTCTATTAATGAATGGTCTTAAGATTCGGAGGTTTTCATCATCATCATCCTTATCGAAGCTATTTGAGATGATGAATTCCCTTATCTTCATTCATTCCTATTTACACAAAATGAGATGTCCTCTACTTTGCACCCTTTTGCACTACTAGATATACAACTTTAGTCGACATAAGTTCAATCTAATCCTTTAGAATTTATTTCATCTAATTGCTGCAAAGGCTCATATTTTCCGCTTCGTTGTCCGTGTCCCATATCACAAATATTTTTCGATATTTTAATTTCAATTGGTGATCATCGCTCTATTAAAAGCATTTCTCATAATATTCTTCCTAGTTTATTAAATCACACATTCATCTAACATTTCTATTATAAAGCATTCAACGTGGTTAACAATAAATTCATTATAAACAAATACTCATACCCAAGTAGTATGGATGGTGACGGTGGTCAATTAAAATTTTAAAAATTTTACATTTAATTATTCATCATATTATCTTATCGATAGTACTGCTGAGAAACTTTAATATCTTTATCCTAACTTTTTCTTATAATATATCCAAAATGCTTAAATTTATCACTCATAAGCATCACTTAATCTTTATATAACTGATAATTATTAATTTAACATCTACTAGAATTGTATATCATTTATTGCCTTCATTCTGCTAATTCAAAATTTCTTATATTCTAAAAGTTTTCTTCATTATGTCTTTTTTACTTAATCAAAAAGCAGTATAACTAGTGAAACAAGACCATTTGCAAATAGTATTCATCAACATACCTCTATTTGAATGTCTATCATAAGCATCTAAATAATTAATATAACAATGGTTCAACCTTAATGCTAAATATTATTGTTTTCCTATTGTGATTTGGATTATTTTAAACACTACACAACTACTTCAATGCTACTCATAGCTGTGTCATAGATATATTAACTAAATTTAACAAATCATATGATACACCTTTTCTTCTTAAAGAAAACTAAATCAATTCCTGTTAGACTTGATCATATATTTTCGAGATCAATAAACGAAATATGAAGATCATTTGTCTTTAAAAATTTTCATTAATTTTCTTGGCACAAAAGTTATCTTCACAGTAGATCTGCCTTTCATAAAATTAAAAATTAACACCAACCTAACTTTTCTAGGATAATGTTTCCCTAACCTCTCCCATGACTTACAATAGTTTAAAAAGAGGTAGCAGTAAGATTCTTATAATAGATTTATTGTTGCCTTCAGCAGCTGCTCAATTTCAAGAAAGGTTATTACATAAATAGAATATTTTATTTTAAAAGCTTCGAGTTAGATGCTTCCCAAATCTATTCAGAGTAAAACAATTTTTTTATGAAATCAAAACATTTTTGTCGGGCTGACATGGGGAAAGAAATTTATTAACTCAACTCTATTGCACTAATTATAATTATGAATCAAGAAAAACATAGCAATATTTATGAAACATGCAAGACAATGAGGTTCAAAATATTTCTTTCCATAGAAAAAATATTTATGTAAAAGAATAAAGAAGGCATAATAAAATTAAATTACCTCGTGAAATTACTGAATATCACTCAAGTTCAGATGCATCCTCAGAATCAGATAACGGTAACAAAGCACAGATACCAAGCATATGGCCATTAAGGCAAACATAATAATCTATGCAGTCCTCATAAGCACCCAACCTGCTGTATGCACTCTTTGGCACCATTTTGGCCTGCAGCATGCTCCACATCTTTGCCTTGCAAAATGGACAAAGCTCAGTATTATGGAGTTTGACACCCCTGTCAACCAACATCTTCCTGACTTTTGAAACAGAAAATGACTTGAAGATGCCGCGAAAAAATCCCACATCACCATCCTCTCCTTGATCAAGATGCTCGCAAGGGTCTGAGACATATAGGACATCTGTTCTGCACTGAGGAATGAGAAAGCTTTTGCCTGATGTCCTCGAAAACCGTGTTTTATAGACAAAGTGGCCTGGGATAGGTGAGCTATTCAAACGTCCACCTTTGTTGCAACCTGAACAATATATTAAAAGCTTGGCAAGTGCCTTCCAATTTCCATCAACACTGTGAGTTCCACTAGATTGAAAGTCTAGCATCATTTTTGGCGCACGGGCTCGGCAAAATTCTTTCCAGAGCACTTGTTTGGATATCTCGCTAAACCATTTGCAAACACAAGACAGTGTTGCAATCAATCTAGGATTCCATTTGAGGTGCTGAAAGACTAGGAATATTGCATCCTCACTTAGATGGCCTTTAGTGCACCCACATGCTGCTGAGTGGGTGCAGCGGTACTGCTTTGCCACCAGCATTGTTATAACCAGCGACTGTAGATGAACTTTCTCTATCTAATCGAAAGTTCATTAAAATTTAGTAAAAGATACATATTAAGTTTGTTTGACTGAACCAACTAAGAAGACACTTACTCTACTAAAAAATTACCAATTGAAAGTTCTTTGAATCAAAGAATTTTAACAAGAGGTTCACATGGGATCAGTCTATAAATAAATTTGTACAACCATATTCGCCTAGGGCAAGATAATCAAGTCACAACAATAACAAGTAGATCCAATAAGCCACTGATTTAGAATAGGCTTAAATCTTCTAAAACTCGAAACTCTCAAGTTTAAAGTCATCTATGGCCTCAATTCATCCATAAAGGCATCTTGAATAAATGGTCTAAGAGTTAAATTTAAATTGGTTCTCAGAAAATGTAAATAAAAGAAAAACCAAATGTTCATTTATTTAATTAAAAATATCAAATATTAAAATTTTAATCACATGTTGATGACTTCCACCTTCCAGCCCAGTCATTGGTAGAATTATGAATGTCCTACACTCTACTGCACCGACGGAGCATGTATTGGCTAGGGGCAACTTGATGTTTTTCCACCGTAAACAATAATGGACATGATCTACATCCCATTGTGGCATTGTGCTAACAGGGGAGGTATCAACCAAAGGTAAGTTGGGTTTATGTATAGATTGTGCTCCTAAGATTGATATATATATATATATATATATAATTATAATTATAAGTTAATATAATATAAGCTCTTAATGACAAGATAAATGCTATGATTCTACATCACTTCAACTATTAATCAATGTTTACAGTATTGGTTAATATTTAAAAGATAAACCCATCTTATGGTCTCCTTACAATTTAAATATGATGACTAGCATAAATGTTTCATTTTCATTTGAATTACTATGATTTAGAACTACAATATACCCACTAAGTTATTATAACTCACACTTGCTATTTGATAAATATATAAAATAAAGAATTATATGGCTGAATGAGAGAGAAAAGAGAGTTTGTGTACTGCTAATGTGGAGCTATTAATCATATGTATTTAAAAGTTCTGGATGTTAAAGTAACTATAATAGATATGTTGCTATTTTATAGTAGAATAGATTTTGTCATTTAGTGGCTCTTTAGTTATATTGGAAGTTGGTATTATAAAAACTTAATGATTTTTATATTATTCGATGTTAGAAAATGTAACTTAAAAACTCCACTCAACCTTTTGTTCTCGCTTTGGTATTCCAAGCTTCCGGATCGGGATGTGTCAAAGTGATACTAGAGCTAAGGTTAGATTATGCAATAGTAGCATAACAAAAGAGCTATTACAATGATTAAAGAGATTTTTATATGAGATTTGGTTAGACATTATGTTACTAACTACTTAATATTTTCTTGTACATCTTAGGTTTATGAATAACCAAGAGGAAGTAAGAGATGAAAATACAAAAGAAGATGGAGTGCCAACAAATGCTATAGTTGATATAAATGCTCTCACTCAAATGAAGATTACTCCAAGACTCGTTATCTCAACATAATAGAAGTAATAGTATGATAAATATTTGAAGTTATTCCAAGACATACAACCATCATTATTGATAGGAGCTGAAGGACCCACTGAAGTAAAATATTGGCTACTGTTAATTGAGAAAATACTGGATGGTATGTTCTTTCCATAAGAAAGAGAGCTAGCATTTGCCACTTTTGCAATAGATGATAAGTAGAGATATGGAGGCGAGGTTAACATCAAGACAAGTTTTAAGACCTATATAGTATGTTGATTGATTAGGGAGATTTGTAGAAACTTTAGATAATGATTTGTGCCTCTTTCTAAAAAAAGTAAACACAAGATAAATTTATAAGACTTATGCATAGAGATAAGTGAGTAATGCAGTACGAAACTGAATTTACACAACTTGTCAAGATATAACCCATAATTAATTCAAAATACTAAAGAAAAATGTCAGATTCGTATGTGGACTGAGGGATATGATTAGACAGTTCAAGGTTACCTTAGGGATTAAAGATTATTTAGTACTTGTGGAGAGAGTTAGAAGGGTAGAACTTAACTTTTAATTACTCGTGAGTACATAAATTTGCATCAAGAAACAACAATAAAGAAGGCTAATATGTTAATCAGTTGAGAGGCCCAAATCGAAGAAGCCCATGATCATTAGTAGCGAGGTTAGTGGTGGTGTTTCCAATATAGCTATAGAAAGTTTAGGTAAGTGTGGGAAATTACACCGCAGAGAATATCTTGAGGGCTCCAACATATACAATATATGGGAGCAGCAAGGACATCAGACGGCCAACTCTGTTCAGAAGCCTACATAAGATGCTAAATCAAAAGAACTCTATCTTAGAAAAGTTTTAATGAGGAATTATTCATAGGGGTGGATAATAGAAAATGTCAGAGATAGGTGCATTAACTCGTACTAAGGATCAACCAAGACAAAATTTACAACCACATGTTTAATAAAGTAACTCAATGCAAGCATAAAAAAACTACTCATGTTGATAAAAGTTGTTAAGGTATTGTTAATATGAAATGCAAAATAACATGTTACTTTACATCAAATGTCTTTCTTTACTAAGGGTACGCAAGAGCTTTACTACAATGTTTATGTGAAACTGTAGTCCAGATAAATTTGTCTAATTTGTATTTCTTTAATGATTATGATGAATTAAAAAGCCAATATGAATCTTCTCCCAACATGGTAGCTGCTCCCTTCTCTCTTATGTATCTACAGAGTGGAGCAGAAAATGATTTTGTCTTAAACACAATTCAATCAAGTGTCAAAAGATATTGTGCAATTTACTTTAATAAAAGCTCAACATTATTTAAACTTAATGTAGAATACGCAAAATACAATAGCTTGAAGTTCTAATTGAGCTCAATCAGCATTTTCTTGTACATGTATGAAAGAAGAAGAATATTAATAGCAAATATGAAAAGAGCAATCGTTTAGGACCAAAAAATAAATAAACAAAGCATGAATTATTTCTAAATGTAGAAGAATGATGAAAAGTTGAAATCTAAGTTCACATCATCAGTCATATTTCAATTTTGGATTGGGGTTTTCCATTCTTCTTCACTATTTATTACTTATTTGATTTGTGCTTATTCATAAATACCTAGATCCCTTGCCAAACCTTCTAATCAAATTAGTTTCAACCAACCCCTTTTCCTTTCAAGCTCTTTCACATACATTATACATCATCCTTTAATGGTACTTCCCAACCTTCCATTGCACGTGCCCAATCAATCCAAATCACATTCAGAACTTATTTCATAAAATCTTTTTCTCCTGTCCTAGATCTACAGACAGCGGTAGCCATTTTCCCCATTTTTTCCACAACTACACTGGCCGCCAATATAATCAAACATTTCACAAAAAAACACTCATTTCTTCGGTTAACCATTCCCTTCAAATTACTAGCTCATCAATCATGAGATTCAAAAGGCAGACCAAGATGATAGTTGCATATGCCATGCATCAGGTACATCATGTCGTATCGTTACTTTTTTTTGCTCGGGAAAAAAAAATAATTTGCTTACCTCCGGTCTCAAAAACTATGCCTAGAACTTAAAAAACCTATGAAATAATGCAACGGAACTTGCAGACAAAATCTTGGAAATTGTGTAAATTGCGCGATTCTTTTTTCAATTGGTAAGAGTAAGACGCTAAGCTCAATGCAAGAAGAGGGTGAGAAGCCAAAGTAAAAGAAGTGAAGAAAACCTCTTTGAGCGTAGTGCGGATGTTCTCTTAGTTCCCCGAAAGTGGATGGATTCGCCTCGGTATAGGGAACAGAACCACTAAAGGAAAAGGGTTTTAAGATCGCCGTGACAGATTACCTATGCCGGAGGCCCGGCGTTGATGAAGCCGAAGAAATCTAGGGCTTGTCGCATCCAGCAAAGAGAGAGATGAGAACCGAGGCAAATTATTGGGTCAGGTGACCGGAGCCAAAAGATAAGTTCGGACAGCCAATAAAAATTTGCCGCGTCACCTTGCGCTTTAGTTGCGCTTTTTGACTTGCGCTTTAGTTGCGCTTTGGTTGCGCTTTAGTTGCGCTTTGGTTGCGCTTTAGTTGCGCTTTAGTTGCGCTTTGGTTGCGCTTTGGTTGCGCTTTAGTTGCGCTTTGGTTGCGCTTTAGTTGCGCTTTAGTTGCGCTAATTTTAAAATAATATTTTATTATTATCCGAACCTATCTCTGCGTTCGGTCACCTGACCCAATAATTTGCCCAATCTTTGAGCCTTTAGTGGTGTTGCGGGTTAGAACATACACGACGATAGAATTAGAAATTTTTGTCTCAGCGTTATACAAATATCTAGTACATAAATAGAAGTAAAATATAACACTCAAAGTTTTTACGTGAAATTTGATTGCCTTGAAAAATCATCATAACAACAAGTGTGAACCTTTTTCTCACGAATTTACGGTTCCTTTTAAATTTTTTGGAGATAAATTGAGTTTAATATTTAATCAGATTTTTTCTGAGAGTAGTGTCAAGGTTTATTTAGATATAGGATCTACTTTCTATGAGTGCAAGCCCTCATAGTTAATTACCCCTCCTAACGTATTAGGAGAGCACTCTCAATTAAGGATAAAATACACTTAGCTTTGTGTAAGGAATGTGAGAATGTGCAACAAAGTTTTAAGCTTAATTATGGGGGATTAAGGTACACTCGATCAAGATCACATTGTTCCGTTATCCCGGGTATGTCGTGGGTTCAGTCTACCAACACTAACAACCTTTGATTGTAGTGTCCAAGGAATCTGATTATCAGCCATGGGTTGTCTCTTTTCAGGGATCCCGAGTAAACTAAAGTGAAGATGCGTTTGGATTTTAATTTATTTAGTTTGGTGCTTATGACTCCAATTAAGAGTTACCCATATAATTAGATTTGGGTAGGGGCTTACGGCTTTCATTTGAAAGTAGCCCTAATGATAAGACTTATGACCTCTATTAGAGGTGGTCCTAATGGTTTTTTATATAAGTGGGTCTTATGGCTTCTATAAGAAGTAGCCCGAAGATTTTTTTTTTGATAGGTTTTATGGCTTCCTTAGAACTTGACGGGTCTTACAACATAGCCTTGTAAGCTAAGTGGCTCGAGTGGTGGGTCTTACAACCTACCCTTATAGACTAGGATGCCCGGGTGAGAGGTTTAGGGTTATCTTATTACCTAAATATTTCTCTTATAGGTCAGACTTACGGCTTTTATTAGAAGTTGCCGATGGATATGTCTTACAACTTAGTTCTTATAAACAAGATTGCCAGTAGTTTGGAGTTTTGGATTTAGGACTCTTCATTTAGAAGTTCCATAACACGTAGGTCTTACTGCTTCGCTTAGAAGTAGCCCAAATAGCGGGTCTTACAACTTAGTCCTATAGGCTTAAGATGCCCGAGAAGGAGTCTAGGATAAGGTTACTTCATAGCTATTATTCCCTAAAGGTTGAACTTACGGCTTTCATTTAAAGTAGCAAGGTGACGGATCTTACAACCTAGTTTTTATAAACAAAGATGCACAATTGGTTAAGAGGTTTAGGGTTGTTCACTTAGAAGTTTCCCTAACATGCAGGTCTTACGGCTTCCTTAGAAGTGACCCAAATAGTTGGTCTTACAACTTAGTCCTATAGATTAAGATGCATATTTAAGGGGTCTAGAGTTAAGTTGTTTCCTAGCTATTAACCTTAAAAGATCATATTTATGACTTTCATTGAAAGTAGCCAGGTGGTGTTTTAGGAATTTATTTCTTCACTTAATAAATATATATTTAGTGAAAGAATTGTTGATAAGATTTACTACTCCGACTAGAAGTAACCTTAATGATTCAGATTACCTAGGGCATAGCTTTAGCCACTTTACTCCCTCGATATCAATGTTATTGTCTTATTTTGTGCTTTTAGTTTGTATTTTTGCTACAATAAATTGTTTTTGCTTTACTTGTTTTTCAGGATTGTTACTTTATTAGTTTTTTAGTACTTTGCTTTACTTTCATTAGTTAGATTTATTTTTTCTAGCATTGATTTAATCTTATTTACTGGTGTACTAACTTTTGCCTATTTTCTTTCAGGTGCTCTTAGCCAGTAAATTAGAGAGCCCACAAGTAGCTGCAGTAGATATTATTGAGGGCCAGAGGGAGTTTGAGTTTTGTTTTGAGAGCTTTAGAGTTCTTTGTTGAGTTGTTTGGAGAGCTCCTTAATCTTGTGTTTGAGCTGATGATCTGTAGTCCTTTGGAGGGTTGCCAATTTGAGAGCTATTTGAGAGTAGTTTGTACATAGGTTTGATAGTGGAAAATATGATTATTTCTGCATTTTATTTTAATTGCATCAATTGATTAAATGAATTGAAATTAAGTTTCGATTTAAAGTTTGTTCAATTAATTTGTTTTTTTTATTTAAATGTTAAAATGTTATTTTTAAAGTTATTTAATCAATTTAATTGGTTGCTTAATTTAATCCAATTGATTAAAAAGATTTTTATTTTAAACCCAAGTTTTGAAATTAGTTTCAGAATTAGTCATTTAAACTTGATTTAATTAACATCCACCTTATTGATTTTTTTTTTCGTCAAGTTAAAGCTAAGTGGTTTAGCTTAAATCTGTTAAAGCTTTAATTCGATTAAAATTTAGTTATTGAATTTTCATATTAGTTAATTGAATTCCAATTGATTTATTGAATTATTAAAAGGAATTTTATTTATTATTAATCAATTGACAGTTATATTTTTTATTAATTAATGAGATATGATTTTCTTTGGTTAGTTGATTAATTGATTATTCCAATTTATTTTAGTTGATTTTATTTAAAGGATTTTGTTTAAGTTGATTAGTTAAATTCCAAAATCAGTTTTCAGTATTTGTTTTTTTACAAATTTTAAGTGAAATTTAATTTGATTAAAGTTATGATAAAAGTTTGGTTTTTAATTAAGTTAAGAGTTGGTTGTTAAATTAATTAAGAGACTTAATGTTAAATTAAATGCTCTTAATTAATTTAGGATTTTCAATTCAATTAATTAATTCCAAGTTAAATCAGCTAATTGCATGTTTCTCCAATCTTCCAAAATTAAATTTGACAAAATTCATAACTTTCGACTAAATTTTATTTGTAATGGTAAATCCATCATTGAACCCCCTTTAAAATCTTAATTCTTCTTTAAGTAAAATTAATTTCCTTAAAAACCAACTATAAAACTTTTTTTTAATTACTATCGAATTAAATATAGTTCAAAATTATTGAAATTTATATTAAAAATTCTCAATTTATATGTCTAAATTTTGCAATAATTTTAAAAGGACAAATGGAAGATTTATATAGCATTATGTAATTTAGAGATTTATTATTATTATTATTTATATAAAATAATATAAATATAATAATAATAAATACATTATCAAAACAATTGTATTAAATAATATCAATTTTATTTTTTGCACAGAGAGAGAGAGAGATTAAAGAAATGATGAGTAGATAGATCTCTCTATCACAAAGCTATTTCTTTCATTTTTCTTAATATTTATGTTATAAAACATCACAATCTCTACAGAATATTTCTCAACCACCATTGTCATCAAGGATGTGACAAATCAAATGCGATGGCAAAACAACAAAGTAAGATGGAAATAAAGAAAGAATGCATTACATATATAGGTTGAGATATTTTGAAGCAATTGCTTTCATTACTCATTTGTCATTATCATTGTGTTCGATCGAGCAATGTATGAGCAAATTTATCATTTTTTTTATCCACCGAATAATGCAGTGAACCTGGGCGGGAAAACAGCCATTGGCGGGCGTGAAAACGAAATCGAGTAGCTCGACGAGCTCCTTCCTGTGTCGCGAGTCGAGCTCGAGCTCGATTTTTTAGCTCTACTCGAGCTCGAGCTCAAGTTCGAGCTCGGTATTTGACTCGCGAGTCGAGCTCGAACACCCTCTAACTCTAGCTCGACTCGACTCGTTTACACACCTAACATCGCATGACCATATTCATCCTTTTTGACAAACGGTTAAATTCACCTCATTTCTACGAGAAATTATTCTGTGCGGAGGCCGGACGTAGCTCTATATCGGAGACGAATTAGGTGCAGCCACATCAACGGTACAAGCAGTACGGAGCCGCGGTACTAAGTGAATGGGCGACATGACGCATTTTGGTTAGTCTCTGGACGGCATTCGGCATAGAATAATTAATCTCAATCTACACCCCCTCCAACCCCAACTTTCTCTCTCTCTCTCTCTCACTGGGCCAGCACTCCGGACTTTTGGCAAAAGGAAGGATAAAGTGTGAAGGGCACACTTCATGTTTGATGAAGAAGCAAACTTACTTACCACTTAAAAAAGAAAGGCTTTAAAGAAAATTTGGTAGAAAAGCAGGACATTCTCCTCCCTTATACATATTACACAGCAAGGGATTCTCCTCCCAAGATTCATCTAGCCATGGTTTCAGAAAATCTCAGCTCCAAAAATGTCTGTGTGATTGGAGCAGGACCTTCAGGTCTGGTTTCTGCAAGAGAGCTGCGAAAGGAAGGACATTCTGTCTTAGTTCTGGAGCAGAACCATGACATCGGAGGACAATGGCTGTACCAATCAAAGGTTCAAGACGAAGATTCAATGGGGAAGAAAACTCCATTAAAGATCCATAGCAGTGTCTATAACTCATTAAGATTAGCTTCTCCTAGAGAGATAATGGGATTCACCGACTTCCCTTTCATTGCAAAGAAAGGAAGAGACATGAGGAGATTCCCAAGTCACAGTGAGATGTTTTTATATCTCCAAGATTTCTGTAGCTGGTTTGAACTCAGGGAGATGATAAGATTTAATACAAGAGTGGAATATGTTGGAATAGTTGATAGTTCTGAATTTGATATTGGTAAGAGAATTAGATGGGCTGTAAGAAGTAAAGAAATTGAGACTGGAATTGTTTGTGAAGAAATATATGATGCTGTTGTTGTTGCTAATGGGCATTATTCTATGCCTAGATTGCCTATAATCAAAGGTATGAAGATTTGAAGTATGGAATTATTGTTGATGATGAAAACTTATATATATTTTTGTTGTATTGCAGTTTATGAATGATTTTTGTATTGAAGATTCTTTCATTTGATATGTAGGAATGGATGTATGGAGAAGGAGACAGCTCCATAGTCATGTATACAGAGTTCCCCAGCCTTTCAGCAATGAGGTGAGAAAGATTTTCTCCATTTGTAACTTGTTACTCTTATCATGCTAAATTTCTCAAAAATTTATATTAACTTGTATGAAAAATATGCTTGAAAATCATTATTTTTTTGGTGTTCTTAGTTTAGGGTTTAGGGAAGAACATAACAAAAGTGTTCATGAAATAATATGTAGATTGTAGTGGTGGTGGGGAACTCGGTGAGCGGCCGGGACATATCAAGGGAACTTGTGAATGTTGCTAAGGAAGTTCATCTTAGTGTCAAATCTCTTGAAATATCTAAAGGATTGTCCAAAGTAATTGCTAAATATCAAAACCTTCACTTACATCCACAGGTACTCTCCAAGAAACTAAAATACTCTTCTGATAACATTTATAAAAGCTTAAGATTAATAAGTATTATGTAAATTGCAGATAGACACTCTTTATGAAGATGGAAGAGTTTTATTTGTTGATGGTACTTTCATTACCGCCGATACGATCATTTACTGCACAGGGTAAGTGCTAAAAAATAAACTCTCCGTCTTGTTAGTGTTGCTATTTGCTTTGTGGTATAAAAAATTTATGTCAAAGTATAAATTTTAGTATGATACATTGATGGTTATAAATTTGTTTTGCTTTGAAGGTATTCATATTCTTTGCCATTTCTTGACACCAAGGGAATAGTAACTGTTGATGATGACAAAGTAGGTCCATTGTATGAGCATACATTCCCACCTTCACTTGCTCCTTCACTCTCTTTTGTAGGAATTCCGAAGAAGGTGAGATCTACTTCTTTATGAAACAGGTGTTTGTTCATGGAGATTAATTCATTTTTATCCTATATAAAATTAGGAAGGGTTGTGAATGATTTGAAGTTACGATGATTCGATTTTGGCTCAATATCAAGTCAAAGTCATTCAGGTCGACCTTGATCTGACCCAAATCTGCCCATTTGCTTACTCAATTCAAATTAGAGGTGGATCGAGTAAGATCGTATTAGATCATATCAACTTTGAGATTACATCATTAACATCCCTAATTAAAATCATAACCATATAAAAAAAACATACTCCATCAGTGGTTTCCAACGAATTGAGAAAATATCATTCTACTTCTCTCTCAGGTGGATTAACTTCAGTAAAGTAAATTAAGGCTCTGTTTGGGACAGCTTTTTTTGCTATTTTTTTAGGATAATTTCCTAGTATAAAATGTTCTAATTTAAGGAATTTTTGTATTAAAAAACTGCTTTAGAAATCAATAAAAAAGTCGTCCCAAACGAAGCTTGAATATTTCTTGCATCTAAAAACTTAAACAACATTATTAATAATATGCATAAGGATCATTATTAACTCTGAATTTTTATAGATTATTGTGTTTCCATTCTTTGAATCACAAGCAAAATGGATAGCTCAAGTGCTCTCAGGGAAAAGGACACTTCCATCATGTGAAGAGATGATGAAGGAGTATTACCACTCTAGAGATCTAGCTGGAATACTAAAGCACAATGCACATGATATAGCCAATTTTGAGGTAATATATTTTTTCTTTATCACCCCATCTTGAAATTTGTAAGCTAAGATTTGTGAATGTCATATTAGTCTTCACAAATAAAATTAGAAAAGCAAAAGGGTATATAATTCAAAGTTAGAACTTATAGATGTTGTAAAATAAAAAATTATACATTATATGATTGACATCTTATACGACACTACTAAATATTCAAATGATTATGAATCAATTTTTTCTAGAAAGGAAATTTGATATAATAAATTACTTTACCAAGAGATTTAGTCTTTGTTTGGGACGGCTTCTTCACTGCTTCTTAAAGTTTCTTTTTAGTGCAAAATTAAAAAATTTTGTGCAAGAAAGCTGCTTTATGAAGCAACAAAAAAGTCATCGCAAACGAAGTCTTACTCGTCTTATGAGGACTTTTTATTCTAATTTGAGATTTTTTATAAGTGCAATCCTCTATGGTTGACTATTTATCTTGATCATAAGAGAACACTTTCAATTAAATTTCATTTGTGTGGCTCTAATGATTAATTGCTTTAGTAGAAGCTATTTGGATTGAAACAAAAAAGAATTTACAACTATAAATTCAGGGCAGATGATTGGGGCAATGATAATAAACAGAATTATGATTGTATGATTCCATCTTCATGGGAAGTAATGGAACCTAGCCTACTTAGTCAAACAGGTAGGGATCCCGTAGATAGAAGTTTGTGCGGTTGGAGAGACGGCGGCAATGAAATCTTTAGCAAGATAAGGGTAAGATTGGTCTCTAATAGGATTCATAAAGGTGACCAAAAACAAAGTTACATTAGTATGATGTTGAAGAAGCGATTAAGAGGCAACCATTTTCATAGGAACAAACCTTTCCCTTTTGGCTTCCTATTTTATTTTAGAGCCTATATATATAGAGAGAGAGAAATTTTTTTTATAAAATATCCTAATAATAAAAATTATTGCAGGATATCTCGATACAAATTCTATTAGGATGGGCTTACAAATCGGTAGATTTACTTTGAGATTAATACAACAAAAACTTTTTGTATACAACACTAATCTTAAAGTAACTTCATAGGTTCTAAAGTCCATGCTCATCCTCATACAATTTATATCAAAATATTCTAACTTTTTTTTTTTGCATATCATGATACAAGCTTCGTTTGAGATAGCTTTCTTACTACTTTCTAAAACAATTTTTTCATACAAAAAAAAATTGAATTAAAATTTTTGTATCAAAAAGCTGCTTTAAAAAAATAGTAAGAAAGTGTCCCGAAAGAAACCACAGTGTTGTATTTGATGGAATGACAAATGATCAAAATAAACTTAAAAATTAAAAAAAATAACACCATTGAACAAAATTTTGAGCATTTTTTCTATCTATGTTTGTATTTCAAACTTTTGTGTTTTGAAACACAACAATTGATCAAAATATGATCATATAACAAATCCATTTTGTTTTTTATTGTTTTGGTGGACAGTACTGTGACAAATATGGAGATAGATGTTCTTTTCCACATTTGGAAGAATGGAGGAAGGAATTATGCTTATCATCTCTACTGAATGCTGAAATGAATCTGGAAACTTATCGCGATTCTTGGGATGATGATCTTCAATTGCTTCAAGAGGTTCACCAAAGCCCTCCTTTCACACAACAAGGCTATGAAAGCATTGTGATTTGAAGGCCGGTATTTATTTATTCAAAAACAATGTCCTTAGGTTTCGATTGGAACAACTTTTTGTTATTTCTAAAGTAACTTTTTAGTACAAAATTTTATAATTTAAGAAATTTTTATACTAAAATACTGTTTTAGAAAGCAGTAAAAAAGCTGTCACAAACAAACTCTTAGTTTATATTTTGCTTTGATCAAAATTAGAAACCAGGAGATGAATGAGGGGAGCTCAGTGCAGAAAACAGAAAGAAATAAGGAAGAACAATTGAAGAAAGTCATTTTTATATCTATATGGTTGCTAGAATTTGGCTTATATGAACAAGGAGTTACTTGGCACTTGCCTAATGATTTTAATAGCTAAATGTATAAGAGAAGCACAATATATTAAGAATTGGTAGGCTATCATCCCTATCCTTTTTATACTATGAATCTTAAAGCAATTTTAAAAATATGTTGATTTAGGTTTTATTTGGGATTGATTTCTCACCGCTTCTTAAAGATGTTTTCTAGCATTAAAATTTTAATTTTTGAACTAAAAAATCGCTTTAAAAAGTAGTAAGAAAGCCATCCTAAGCTAAGCCTTAGTCTTGGTCTGTTGGTTTGGAGCTTTTGCTACCAATCAAGAAATCTTGAGTTTGAGTCTTACGTATGTGATGTATGTGTGAGTTTGTTTTAATTGACCTAGAAGTCTCCCAAAGAAAAAGTTGATTTGATGGGCCTCAATCTCTTGTACTTTGATTATGCCAAGCAAATTTTTTAGATTTGTAAATTCTAATACTTTGATAAATATCATTTAAGCTTCATTATTGATTAAATTCAAGATTTATTAAATCTCACCATTTGCATAGTTTGATATATTTAAGAATTTCTCATTCATATAAATCTTAAGTCCTAAAACAAATAGCCTAACATATTATCAATATATAACAAAATTTAATAATTACCCTACAAACAATTTTTAAGTTTTAATCGTATATGAGTTAAAGCCTACTTGTAGCCTTATAACTCATTAGTGTCTCAATATAATTCTCATCAAATATTACTAAATTGAAGCAACATAATATTATGTGACTAAAGCTTCGTTTGGGACGGCTTTTTTACTGTTTCCTAAAATAATTTTTTAGTACAAAAGTTTTTAGTTCAAAAAATTTTTATACTACAAATCTGTTTTATAAAATAGTAAGAAAGTTGCCCCAAATAATGCCTAAATTGATCACATACAAATAGTCTAGAAACTATTTTGAGATTTTTTTGTTCAACTTGAAAACTTAAATTTATGAGTAAGAAAATTATTAATATCTTTAAACATACATTTTTGAACTATATAATATGAGCCTAAATTGATCACATACAAGTTTGCTTTCATTAACACTGGGCAACTAGATTTCTCAAGATTTATATATCAATTTTATTTTTTGCACAGAGAGAGAGAGATTAAAGAAATGATGAGTAGATAGATCTCTCTATCACATAGCTATTTCTATCATTTTTCTTAATATTTATTCTATCAAACAACACAATCTCTACAAAATATTTGTCAACCACCATGGATGTGACAAATCAAATGCCATGGCAACACAACAATGTAAGATGGAAATAAAGAAAGAATGCATACATATATAGGTTGAGATATTTTGAAGCAATTGCTCTCACTACTCTTTTTTCATTATCATTGTGTTGGATCTAGTACTGTATGAGCAAATTTATCATTTTCGCAAGACAACAATAAATTCACAATTATTCTGTGCGGAGACCAGACAGCAAGAACCATCTGGATTTGTTGTGTTTTAGTTGTCCTTTTGTTGCGCTTTTGCAAATACTCAGCAAAAGGGCAGCAAATATGTAATTATGAATGGCTAAAACACATCAAATATCCTACTAATTGAATATTTGTTGTCATTTTGCTGCGCTTTTGCAAATACTCAGGCAACAAAAGTGCATTCATAATTGCTTCGCTTTTGTTGAATATTTGCAAAAACGCAGCACATCTAGACGGTTCTCGCCTTCGGTCTCCGCACAAAATAATTTCTCCCCTTCGTACTTGACAGAGTCAGCATCACATGAGCATATTCAACATTTTTGACAAACTGGTAAATTCAACTCATTCTAAACCCCCTCCAACCCCAACTCTCTCTCTCTATCTCTGGACCAGCACTCCGGACTTTTGGCAAAAGGATGGATAAAGTGTGAAGGGCTCACTTTATGTTTGATGAAGAAGCAAACTTACTTAACACTTAAAAAGAAACGCTTTTAAGGAAAATTTGGGAGAAAAGCAGAACATTGAAGAAAACACTCATTATGAGTTGCATACTCCACTTGTCTCCTGCATGCATGGTTTCCCTTGGCTTTAAGAATGGAGCACCTAAAAGGGAGAGCCCTCATTATTCTTCTACTAGTCCACAGTCCATGCCCCTAAAGAAATTATTCTGTGCGGTCACCGGACGTAATCCAGAGGCAAATCAGGATGCGCCACAATCCACATCATTTTTTGCTGTGTACTGGGTGATGTGGCACATTCTAATTCGCCTCCAAACAGTCCCGTGACCGAACATGATAATTTCCCTTGCCCCTATGATGATAAAGCAAATTATACTATTCAATAATTCACTCAAAATTATACAAAATCATAAACTATGGCCACATGACATTATCACAGTATCCATACCATGCAACTCCACTGAAAGCCATCCACATGATTATTTTTTAAAGAAAACTTAAATGTGATTATAATCTTTATTTTAAATTGATATTTACAGATCATCAAAATAGAACTTCACTAACATTTTTAGATTTACTAGTTTAAAATCCCAATAAACTACCAAACATTCTGAAAACTTTGTTAACAACATAACATTACAGAACATATAAAAAAAATTAAATAAAAAATAAAAAAAATAATAATAACATTACAGAACATATACATACAATCAAACAATAAAAAAAACTTCTAGTCAAAGCAAACTGGGTCACTTTATCCTATCCAGCTCCTGCACAAACATCTATTAAAGAAGCAAACAACTCAACTCCCTTACACAGTCCACAACAAGACATTCTCCTCCCAAGGTTCAACTAGCCATGGTTTCAGAATATCTCAGCTCCAAAAATATCTGTGTGATTGGAGCAGGACCTTCAGGTCTGGTTTCTGCAAGAGAGCTGAGAAAGGAAGGACATTCTGTCTTAGTTCTGGAGCAGAACCATGACATCGGAGGACAATGGCTATACCAATCAAAGGTTGAAGATGAAGATTCAATGGGGAAGAAAACTCCATTAAAGATCCATAGCAGTGTCTATAACTCCTTAAGATTAGCTTCTCCTAGAGAGATAATGGGATTCACCGACTTCCCTTTCATTGTAAAGAAAGGAAGAGACATGAGGAGATTCCCAAGTCACAATGAGCTGTTTTTATATCTCCAAGATTTCTGTAGCTGGTTTGAACTCAGGGAGATGATAAGATTTAATACAAGAGTGGAATATGTTGGAATAGTTGATAGTTCTGAATTTGATATTGATAGGAGAATTAGATGGGCTGTTAGAAGTAAAGAAATTGATTCTGGAATTGTCAGTGAAGAAATATTTGATGCTGTTGTTGTTGCTAATGGCCATTATTCTATGCCTAGATTGCCTGTAATCAAAGGTATTGTTGATGATGAAATCTTATATATTTTTTGTTGTATTGCAGTTTATGAATGATTGTTGCATTGAAGTTTCTTTCTTTTGATATGTAGGAATGGATGTATGGAGAAGGAGACAGCTCCATAGTCATGTATACAGAGTTCCCCAGCCTTTCAGCAATGAGGTGAGAAAGATTTTCTCCATTTGTAACTTGTTCCTCTTACCATGCTAAATTTATAAAAAAATATATATTAAATTGTATGAGAAATATGCTTGAAAATCATTATTATTTTTTTTGGTGTTCTTTGTTATATCATCATGAAGAGCATAACAAAAGTGTTCATGAAATAACATATAGATTGTAGTGGTCGTGGGGAACTCCATGAGCGGCCAGGACATATCAATGGAACTTGTGAATGTTGCTAAGGAAGTTCATCTTAGTGTCAAATCTCTCGAAATATCTGAAGGATTGTCCAAAGTAATTGCTAAATATCAAAACCTTCAATTACAACCACAGGTATTCTCCAAGAAACTAAAATACTCTTCTAATAACATTTAAAAAAGCTTAAGATTAATAAGTATTATGTCATTTGCAGATAGACACTCTTTATGAGGATGGAAGAGTTTTATTTGTTGATGATACTTTCATTACCGCCGATACGATTATTTACTGCACAGGGTAAGTGCTAAAAAATAAATTCTTCGTCTTGTTAGTGTTTCTATTTGCTTTGTAGTATACAAAATTTATGACAAAGTATAAATTTTAGTATGATCTAATAATATCACATTGATGAATATAAATTTTTTTTTGCTTTGAAGGTATTCATATTCTTTGCCATTTCTTGACACCAAAGGAATAGTAACTGTTGATGATGACAAAGTGGGTCCATTGTATGAGCATACATTCCCACCTTCACTTGCTCCTTCACTGTCTTTTGTAGGTATTCCAAAGAAGGTGAGATCTACTTCTTTAGGGTTTAGGTGTTTATTCATGGAGATCAATTCATTTGATCATATATAAAATTAGGAAGAGTTGTGAATGATTTGAAGTTACGATGATTCGATTTTGGCTCAACATCAAGTCGAAGTCCTTCATGTCAATCTTGATTGAACTCAAATCCAGCCATTTGCTTACTCAATTCAAGTTAGAGGTGGATCGAGTAAGGTTATATTAGATCATGCATATCAACTTTGAGATTGCATCATTAACATCTCTAATTAAAATCACAACCATATAAAAACACAATCCATCAGAGTTGGATTAACTTCAATAAAGTAAATTAATAATTCTTTTGTGACAGCTTTTTAGGATAGTTTTCCAGTATAAAAATTTCTAATTTTAATTTTTTTTTTACTAAAAAAAAGTTTTAGAAATCAATAAAAAAAGCGTCCCAAATAAAACTCGAATATTTCTTGCATCTAAAAACTTAAAAAGCATTAATAATATGCACAAGGATCATTATTAACTCTGAAGTTTTATAGATTATTGGGTTTCCATTCTTTGAATCACAAGCAAAATGGATAGCTCAAGTGCTCTCAGGGAAAAGGACACTTCCATCATGGGAAGAGATGATGAAGGCTGTCAAGGAGTACTACCACTCCATAGATCTTGCTGGAATACCAAAGCACAATGCACATGATATAGCCAATTTTGAGGTAATATATTTTTTTCTTATCACCCCACTCTGAAATTTGCAAGCTAAGATTTCTGAATGTCATATTAGGCTTCACAAATAAAATTAGAAAAGCAAAAGGGTATATAATTCAAAGTTAGAACTTCTAGGTGTTGTAAAAAAGAAAATATTATACATTATATGATTGACATCTTAAACTACATTATTGAATATTCAAATGATTCTGAATCAATTTTTTCAGAAAGAAAATTTGATATTATAAATGACTTTACCAAGATATTATAAATGACTTTATTGCTTCTTAAAGCATCTTTTAGTGCAAAAAATAATAATTTTGTACTAGAAAGCTGCTTTAAGAAGCAGCAAGAAAGTCATTCCAAACGAAACCTTACTCGTCTTATGAGTACTTTTTATTCTAATTTGAGATTTTTTATAAGTGCAATCCCCTATGGATGCTATTTATCTTGATCATAAGAGAACACTTTCAAATAAAATTAATTTGTGTGGCTCTAATGATTTATTGCTTTAGTATAAGCTATTTGGATTGAAAACAAAACAAAACAAAACAAAACAAGAATGCATAACTATAGATTCAGGGCAGATGATTGGGGAAATTATAATAAACACAATTATGATTGTATGATTCCATCATCATGGTAAGTAGTGGAACCTAGCCTACTTAGTCAATTGGGTAAGGGAAGGGACCCGTAGATAGAAGTTTGGGCGGCGGCGGCGGAATCATTTTAGCAAGATAAGATTAAGATTAAACTCTAATATGTTTCATAAAGATGACCAAAAACAAAGTTACATTGGTATGATGCTGAATAACCGATTAGGAGGCAATCATTTTAATATAGAGAGAGACCAATTAGAGGACCATTTAAGTACATCGCAAAAATAAAGCCTATGTAGACTTTGTAGCAGATAGACCTAAAAAGACTTGGTTAGAAAATATTAGAAATGATCTTTCTTTATTAGATTAAATTTGAGTTTTAACCAGACACAATGGCGAAAATGGATTCATGTAGCCAACCCCACGTAGTGGGACAAAGGCTTGATGTTTTTGTTGTAGAGTTTGTAGCAATTATCATAGAGAAAAATTTTTAAAAGAATATCCTTATAATAAAAATTATCACAGGATGGCTTACAAATCAGTGGATTTACTTTGAGATTAATACAACACAAATTTTTTTGTATACAACACTAATCTTAAACTAACTTCATAGGTTCTCAAGCCCAAACCATCCTCATACAATTTATATCATGATATTCTAATAATTTTTTCACGTATCCTAATACGGCTTCATTTGAGACAACTTTCTACAGCAGTTTTTTAGTAAAAAAAATTTTGAATTAAAAATTTCTGTACCAAAAAATTGTTTTAAAAAGTAGTAAAAAAATTATCCCCAAAGAAACAAGAGTGTTGTGTTTTGAAACACAACAATTGATCAAAATATCATCATATAACAAATCCATTTTCCTTTTTATTGTTTTGGTGGACAGTACTGTGACAAATATGGAGATAGATGTTCTTTTCCACATTTGGAAGAATGGAGGAAGGAATTATGCTTATCATCTCTACTGAATGCTGAAGTGAATCTGGAAACTTATCGTGATTCTTGGGATGATGATCTTCCATTGCTTCAACAGGCTCACCAAAGCCCTCACTTCACACAACAAGGCTATGAAAGCATTGTGATTTGAAGGCCAGAATTTGTTTATTTAAAAACAATTTCTCTTAGGATTCATTTGGAATAACTTTTTGCTATTTCTAAAATAACTTTTTAGTATAAAGTTTTATAATTTAAGAAATTTTTATACTAAAAATTATTTTAAAAAAGCAGTAAAAAAACCATCTTAAACAAACTCTTACTTTATATTTTTTGTTTTGATCAAAATTAGAAATCAGGAGATGAATGAGGAGCTTAGTGCAGAAAACTGAGAGAAATAAAGAAGAACAATTGAAGAAAGTCATATTTATATCTATATGGTTGCTAGAATTTGACTTATAGAAACAAGGAGTTACTTGGCTCTTACTTCATGATTTCAATAGCTGAATCCATAAGAGAAGCTCAATATATTAAGAATTGGTAGGCTACCATCCTATCTTTTTTATAGTATGAATCTTAAAGCAATTTTAAAAATATGTTGATTTAGGCTTCGTTTGAGACAATTTTCTTATTGCTTTTAAAGCTATTTTCTAGTATTAAAATTTTAATTTTTGAACTATAAAACTGCTTTAAAAAGCAATAAGAAAATCATTCCAAACAAAGCCTTAGTCTTGGTCTGTTGGTTGGAAGCTTTTACTACCAATCAAGAGATCTTAAGTTTGAGTCTTACATATGTGATGTATTTGTGAGTTTACCTTAATTGACCTAAAAGTCTCTAAAAAAAATGTTAATTTGACGAGCCCCAAACTCTTGTACTTTGATTATGCCAAGCAAATTTTTTAGCATTTAAAATTCTAATACTTTGATAAATATCATTTAAGCTTCATTGTTGATTAAATTCAAGATTTATTAAATCTCATCATTTGCATAATTTAATATATTTAAGAATTTCTCATTCATAAAAATCTTAAGTCCTAAAACAAAAAGCCTAAACATATGCCAAACAATGTTTATGTTTTAATCTTATAAGAGTTAAAACCTACTTGTAGCCTTATGACTCTTAAGTATCTCAATATAATTCTCATCAAATATTACTAATTTAAAGCAACATGATATTCTGTGACTTATTGTTTATTAAAACAGCTTTTTAATATAAAAATTTTAATTCAAAAAATTTTTATAATAGAAAACAACTTTAGAAAACAATAAGAAAACTGTCCCAAACAAAGCCTAAATTGATCACATACAAATAATCTAGAAATTATTTTGAGATTTTTCTGATCATCAACTTGTTATAAGTAAGAAAATTATTAATATATTTAAACATACATTTTTGAACTAAATAATATGAGACCAATTAACTCAATATTATCATGTGGAAAAGTATGTAAATAGTATCAACTAAGGATTCTCAATTAATTTCCTGTTGAAAAAGAATTAAGAAGGTTAAAAAAAAAAAGAAAAAAACTAATCAACACAGTATAGAGATTTATATATCTGATACACAGAAATATAACTGAACTGTAAAACTGTAAGACAAAGGTTTCGTTTGAAATTACTTTCTAAAGTAACTTTTTAGTACAAAGATTTTTCATTCAAGATGTTTTTTTTGCTAGAAAGCTACTTTAGAAAGTAATAAGAAAGCTATGCCAAACGAAACCAAAGTAACGTTGCTTTGCTTTTCCATTGTTTCCCTAGCAATGTTATGAAAGTTAAAATACAATTAAGCAATCTGCATAACATAGAAAGCATGATTTCATGAAACAAAATAGAGCTGAGAAAATTTCTTTATTATTATTTCTTTTCAACCAGGAAAATCAAGTTGTAGAGATCACACAAATGCAAAGGATTGCATTTTTTATTTGTAAGCTAACTAAAAGGAATGAGATTATCAATTTGTCAATTCTAAGAAAGAAAAAAATTCCTTATTGATTGATGTTAGCATTTTTTGGCTGATATCCTGAAAAATATTGGCCTGTTTGCAAAGTACAGTTGAATACTCTGCAATGGCCTAAGGATACTAAGCCAAGAATGGTAGAATCAAACCAAAAAATAACTGAGTCAGAGTAATGGAGTAGAAGCATAGGTGTTCAACTCTTCCCTGTCATGTCTGCATGAATAGGAAATCATAGAGAGAAAGCCTCTTCTTTCAGCTGATGATTCTTCTGGACCATCGATCTGGGAAATGATCGAAAACTCCGCTTAGAATACCGAAGAAGAAAATCACAGCATTTCTAATAAAATGTTTTTAGATTCTCCATTGGACTGATAATGCCTGGATAATTTAGGGTTCGTTTGGGACGGATTTCTTACGGCTTCTTAAAGTAGCTTTCTAGTCAAAAAAAATTTATTTTTTATAAAAAAAATTTAGGGTTTAGAAGCAGTAAAAAAGCCATCCCAAACGAAACCTTAATGATAACATCATTCATAGGTTCATAACTAAAGCTGCAAGACAATCAAGCTAATTCCTCTGAGTATATTTGGGCATAACAGATGATAAAAATACCCCATGCATAACAGCTTCATGAAGGTTTTGATGCTAGTTTCAAATTACATACAACAACAACAACATCAAGTCTTTATCCCACTATGTGGGTCGGCTACATGAATCCTTTTTCTCCATTGTGTCATATTAAAAGTCAAATTCTCGTTTAAATCTAATAAAGAAAGATCATTTCTAATATTTTCTAACCAAGTCTTTTTAGGTCTACTGCTATCATTCTTAATATGAGTCAAATCTAATACCTCTACTTTCCTAACTGGGTCATTGGAAGGCCGCCGTTTTATGTGACCAAATCATCTAAGGCTATTCTCTCTAATCTTATCTTTCCACTGGCGCTACACCAACCTTTTCACATATATGCTCATTTTGTATCCTATCTCTAAGGGTAAAGCCACTCATCCACCTGAGCATTCTCATCTCTGCAACACTTAACTTAGTATTATGCTTCTCTTTTAATGGCTCAAAAAATATCAAAAGAATGATAAGTGGCTATACCTCTGGTACTGGGAAAACGATGATTGAGCAGTCAATAAATGTGAATGATCCATTCCCTGTGTCGTATATGTTGAAAAATGAGAAACACTGGAAGATCCAATTGAACTATTCTCTGTTAGGTATGAACTAATTTCATTGCTCCTACACAAATCAAATGATCCAACAGTTTGGCTGTAATTAGGGGCTAAGCAGCCTGGGGGAATGCTTGGCTTCTCAGTAAGACTGTGCTCATTGGTGAACCAAAACACCTGTGGACTTCTATTGTTGGAATTTTGTTGTCCATCAATTTTTCCTCCATAATGATTGTAATCCCAACTGTGAATAGTAGTTGGCGACTGATCTCTGAGAACAAAACACTGAGTAGAAAAGCAGATAAGTTTAGGACTTTTCTTCCAAAAGCGCAAATACAATAGGATTTTCTTGAGACTAGTGAAATATTACATGGAAAAGCCTATCTCATTTGGATTGGACAAAGTTGGGTAGAGGAAAAAAAAAACGTATTACCAAAATAGTCCATTGAAATTGAATGAATTTACACATTATATTGGTTTTATAGTTAATTTCATATAAATAAACAGAATAAACAGATTGAAGCTCAAGAGAGCCATTTTCATACTCAAGATACCATATATATCAGCATGAGAATTGGATAAGAAATATACTTACTGGACTTGGCAGATAGGTTCTAACTCCACAAGGATGTTTAGCGACTCCATCTCCAAAAGTAAGAATGTCAGAAGTTCTTATCTGAGCTTCTGGCATAATATTGGTGGCAGGCATAAACTGTGACCCCTGTGATAGAATTGATTTAACTGGACCAAATGGCGGGAAAATCCTTCGAAAGTACACATTAGGTACTACAGTAGTATAAGGATAGGCAGAGGGTCCAAGTAAAGAAATGTTTGGGGTAGGCAATCCATGAGACAGATTTGGCTTGGCAGGTGCAGCAACATGAATCTCCGGCTGATCAAACATTCCATCTGAATCAACATTTAGATCAAAATCTAACGTTCCATCAGCAAGCAATCCATACAATCCATCATAGTAGCGTTTGTGAGATGGAGAGCTATATGTCTGAAGCATTTCTAAGAACGGGACCGGCGGACCTGTAGGATAAAGTTTTGAAGGAACCACCTCAGAACTTTGCGGCACCTGCCCGGTAGCAATGATGCAGACATCATCAATCATTTGGGCAGTTTGATTTAATGAAACCTCATGATAACCAACCTTTGGTGGACTGCTGTAGTTTTCCATTACAGAATTCATCCTACTTGATGAAGTTTCAGTTGTGGAAAAGGTATTATCATGACAGCTATGAGAAGCACCATTTGAAACTGCAGCTTGAAGAGATGAAGTTTGCTTTGAACATGAAGGGTCATCAATAGATTTCGCTGGTTGGCTGCTCATAATTCTTGAAGCCAGGCTCTTACTTCTGCAATCATGTTCTGAACCAACAAGAAAAGCCTCACGAGTATCAGATTTTTGTATTATATCGTTGCTTTGTCCAGAAGAATTCTCAGACGCATTCATTGGGCGAGATCGAAAGCTTGTCTTTGCAGAGCAAAACATGCCAAACTCACCCTGAAACCTGCAATCTCCTTCCTTATCTTTATTACTGTAATCGCAACTCAGATTTTCATGGTTCTTGTTAGTTCTAACAGGTTTTGAGTCTAAGGTTCTTTCTACATAATCCTGATTCTTGATGATAATATCACTACTATAATCTTTTTTATTTTTAACATTAGAGAATACTGTTTGAATTCCATTATGACAACTACTGTCCGTGGACTTTTGGTTAATTAATCTAAGTATCTGAGAGGAAGCGCCATAGAAAGATGGCCCAACATCACCAGCCAGATGCTCACCACCAGGATCTTCTAAAATATTAACATTCTGTTCCTTGCATGAAATATTTCTGGAAGTGTAAGATGCTCCAACCTGGATAGATTTAGATGGTTTCAAGTGCTCCATGCTAGTAGAAGAACTGGTGTGAATGCCAGCTCTCTGTCTTTCCCATGCATTCTTGAAGAACTGACTGAGATCCGAAGGAGAATCAAGTAAACTGGCTAGCTTTTCAGCCCCAAATACAAAAGCACTACAAATTCTATAAAAATTGCCTGACACAATAGAATATATCAAAAAGTAGTTTAGTACGTTTGAAATTTGTTTGAATTGTAAATACTGCAGTGAATAAACAGAGCCTAAGAAATATAAACATAGTATAAAAAATATTTAATTGTTGAAGAAAGGTCTTCAACTCTTCATAAATGCTTATGACTATAAAGTGCAAAAATACCTTTGTAAACACTGCGTCCAAGGTTGTTATGCACGCATAGAGGATCAACAACGTTCAAATACTTGGGAACAAAAGAACGTCTCTGGCAGTGTTGACCACATGCCAAACCATCAATGAACATGCTATGACTTTCTAGAAAGAACTTCTTGCGATAAAATTCACTTTTGTCCTTTCTCGGAGGCATCACTGAACAATTATTAAGAGGTGAAGAACAAACTTCTTTTTTAGGAAAAGCCAACTTAAATATCAGGCAAAATGCAGAGGTTAATGTTTCGTTTGGGACGTCTTTCTTACTGCTTCATAAAGCAACTTTTTAGTACAAAAATTAAAATTTTTATACTAAAAAATTGCTTTAAGAAGCAGAAAAAAAAATCATCTCAAACGAAACCTAAAGCTTACCAGCAATCTCCGGGAGTGAATGTACGGGTACAGGACCCCATATGCTGACACAAAAGTTTTCCCAATCAAAATTGCTGAAAATTTCTAGAAAACGGTATAGAACCTGTAGATTAAAGAGAATAGCAACATCATATTTCTGTTCTGATCCTTAGCTGAAGCAGTCAAAAGAAATTTTGCTAAGGTTAACAACCTCAAGTGGCCCAGTGAATGAATTGTCAAATACATGAAATATGTAAATGATCATGGTTTCCAAAGCATATGTAGAAATAAGACCATAATGAGCACCCAAAATGCGACTCTCATAGTAACACCAAGCTTTAATAAGAATGCTACTCCGCTTAAATAAATGATCTTGATTTATCAAATGGTCCATCTACAAAAATAGATGTCATATAAGTTAAACGATGCATATAACTAAAAAATTTAGGCTTCGTTTGGGGCGGCTTTCTCACTGCTTCTTAAAGAAGCTTTTCAGTACAAAATTAAAATTTTTATACTAAAAAACTACTTAAGAAGCAGTAAGAAAGCCATCCAAAACGAAGCCTACCTAATTCTACACATAAACTCAAGAACTAATGAAAGAACCTGAAGATTACCTCTTCTAGGAAACAAAGGGCACGTAAGCCACCAGTCTGATGAAATGTTATATCCACAACAATACCCTCTACAAGACATTTTATAACCTTTACCTGAATAAGGAAATTAAACCAAACAAGGAATCAATATTAAGCACAATATTATTGAATAAAGATGTACCAGAAACATACAAGGTTGAGGCATATTTGTTAAAACATGAGCAAATTTGAAGTATAGGCCAACATCATATCATGTGAATCAGCACTTAAATGAACAGGAAATTATATCCTCTTTTAGAAAAGAAATTGAGATCAGCATGTGAAAAATATGGTTAAGACTTCAGATTTTTCCCTGCAAAAAATGCAACCCAGCCTGAACCTGATATCAAATTTACCAAACTTTAGTTCCAACTACAATTGATCATGCAAGCATAAAAAGTATCTATTGTATAAAATGAAACTTTAATCCCCGAAAAATCTAAAATTGAAATGGTCTCAATGCCTATATGACAGCTAGCATGGCATGTGACAGTTGCATGAATCTTCTTATGTTTGTAATTTTGTGCTATTTGCCATATATATCACCTGAAATACTTTACTTTCAATGACATAATATAAGGAATTTCAGTCCAAACTAAAGTATTTTAATGAAATTAAGTCGATTCACTTAGGAAGAAGTTATTTTTAGATATCAATTTAGTCCATTGATTTTGTGCAATCAAATAATCAAATTATTTCATAATGAACCTTCCTATATTTTGTTAAATAATCTGTTTTTAGACAAAAATACCGTATATTTGCATAAGTTATTATTTGATACTTTACTTCAGGTGACAAAAAAAGAAATTTTGCATAGCTATAGGATGACAGGTCAGCTGCCGCTTAGGCAATGATGTGGCGCCATACTTTATGTTGGTTTCTTTAGTGTGTGTAGCATTACTTGTGCACTTATATAGATATAGATTCTGAGAAAAAATGTTAAAAAAAATTATTTGCCTTAAAAATAATGCCTTTCAATTAAAATATTGTTAGAAATTTGGGAAAGTTCAAACATTTGAAGAGGTGTACAGGACAAGGAGGGGGTTTCTTGCACAAGGTGGTTTATTACTAAACTCTTGATGTGTATTACAAATGACAAGGGTCTCCTCCTTTCATAGGCTCCAAAGCTTCTCCCTCTAAGGATAAGGCCTTTTTACAACTCTTTAATTTCTAGAGTTATCTACAATACACTAAATATTCTAAAGTTTATAACAACCAAACACACAATTCTAGAAAAAATTACAAAACTCTAGACACTTTTACACATTCTATTATCTATAAATTTCTAGAATCTTCTTATGCACTATCTAAACAATTCTAGGAAGTGACTTACTTCTCAACAAAGAAAATTCTAGATAAAATTCTATGGGTGTGGGGTGGGGTGAAGAGATTTCTAGAGATTTGGTGCACTCTTTAACACCTCCCCTCATCGACTAATCTTTCACATTGTTCTTCTTATTTTCATGCCAAGTATCCTTCATCAATTATCAAATATTCTTTCAGATAGTTCTTTTGTGAATATGTCAACAACTTAATTCTTGGTCATGGCGTGATTCATTCTGATTTAACCTCTTAATACTTTCTCCCAAACAAATTGATAATTAACATTAGCTTAATTCTTGCTTAAACCACTGGATTCTCTACTATGCAGATAATTGATCAATTATCACAGTACAACAATGCTGCTTAATAATAAATTGATTGACAAAGATCTATCATGATTTGCTTCAATTATGGGCATTCATATGTCGTTTATGCTACCCTTTGAGATTCATTTTAGATAATCTTTCTGTCAATATGCCAGCAACTTGATCCTTCGCCCCAATTTGTGTAACACTCAAACTTTAGAAAGGTAAAAGTCAAAATTCATTCAAAATTTTATTCCCCATTTTCCGCATCTCATGAAAATGAAAAATACTATTTTTATAAAACCTATATTTTGTATGAATCATCTTAATACATAAAATAACAAAGATTTCCTGCATTTTTCTGTTCTTACTCCATTTTTCTCCTCCTCAGATCACATCAAAGATTTTCATGCACCATGGATAGTCCCTTCAAAGATCAACATGTTTCAGTAAACTTGTGATAGCATGCTTCCTATTAATCAAATAAATATAAAATAACAACCAACTTATAAAATACCTTGTGGATAAATATGAAACAATTTAATGCTTGATTGCATTGCTTTTTTAATAAAAAGGTCAATTATGCTTTAAATAATAATTACACAAAATTCAATCCATTAATTATACGAAATTATAAATTTTATGCCACGTGACACAGTGCTAAACAAAAGAATTACATTAGATAGAACAAGAGTACGTGCACTTATAACAAAGGATTTAGTTAATAAAGAATATCCAAGACGTGCAATTTCAAAGAAAAGGTGCTATATATTGCTGAATTATATAAACAAATTTAGAAGGCATACTTCTGCCAATATTAGTTGAACTTCTTTTACATGAAACTCTGCATTCTCATTCTTTTCGTCCTCCTTCATCACTTGGTAGACTTTGTCGGCACATGCTTCTTTCAGATTTTCATTATCACTAAATACAGTCAAGTCAATATCTCCATCAGGTAAATAGGTCATCAGGGGCAAAGATCCCAAAATGTAAACCTGGTAATCACCATTACAGTCATTTCATAGATTTCAAATGAAGAAATACTGACAAAAAAAATACAATTATTACAAAACTAGTCATTAACATAAATATATTCACATTCTAATGAATGCAAAAGACTAATTCCTTAACAGAAAAGCTGAGAAAGCATATAAAAATGTGTGATCATCAACTGAATAAATAACTACTTGCAGAAATAATTTCACTTCGCTTATAAACTTTCTTATGCAAATCAACATTTTGAGTTTTGATTTTACTCTAGTTTTCATTTTTAGTTTTAGAACTTTTAAGCTTGCCTGTGATGATGATCCCTTTAGAGAACATTGCTGTATTATCTAAATTCATATATTGGTTTAGGTGAGTGTAATCCTGGTTACTGTTGGTTTTCTGGTCTGTTGTTGCCAGCTTTTAGTCGATCCTCTCATTTCAAATTAGTGGTTGCTAATGGACTTTCATAATTGTGATGTGAAAAGCCTAGGCTTTGTTTGGATGTTATTTTTTTTTATTTTTTTTTAATTTGCTTGCTACACTGCAGAACCAGATCTACCCCTATTGCTTTCCACCATCTCTTGTACCAATTATAACCCGAATAAAGCCCCTTAGGGCATTGAATAAGAGGAATGAGCGAGCACCCACAAGAGAGAAAATTACGGGCCTAAGAGCGACGACCGAATGAAGGTAAGCGAAGATTGACATCAGCTCCCTAGGGCATGCAATAATTAAGTAAGAGTGAGAAGCTTCTGGTTTTGTAGTTGGCAGCTTCAATAGCTTCACCAACTTCAACAACTAAGGAAGGGTCCTTGGACAGCAAGCCGAGGGAGAGGAAGAGGGAAATAAGCATCGACATCATCATCATCATCATTTCTTCTTCCTTCTTGGAGAAGCTAGGTAAACTCTCAAGCCTAATTTTTTTTCATAGCAATTTTGTGGTGCTTTATGGAGATGCCTTGTTTAGTAATACCCTAATCTAGCTTTATCTATAAAACTAATTTCTCTTAAAGAGATACAAAAAATAAAAAAGTTATCTTAAAGAGATGTTACCTAAACATTAAACCTAAGATTACATAATAATTATGTGCATAGGAATTGAGTTGATGGGGTTTATTCAATTCAAAGATTTAGCTAATCATTAATTTAGAAGAAGGGGCATCATATCATATATTGCTATTAAAGTCATGCGCCATCAATTTACCTTATCTAGGATATTGAACTTCAAAAGACAATGATCTTAATGCTCGTAGGATCATGAGATTTATTGAAGAACCGGAATAGATTAGGATTCGACTTATCACAATACTATGACTCTTTAACATGATGTACATATGGTATTAATGCTTTGTCATCCTAAGTATAAGATCTTCTTTAGACATTGAGATGACTTGCCCATTCTAAGCACCTAGAACTTCAATCAATATCACCAAAACTATGGAGGTAAGCAAAGATCGACAACAGCTCCCTAGGGCATAAAATGAAGTATGAGTAAGGTGCTTCTGGTTATGTAGTTGGTAGCTTCAATAGATTCACCAACTTCAATTTTGGATGGGTCGTCGGAGAGCAAGCTAAGGGAGGGGAAGAGGAAAATAAGCATTGGCATCATCATCATCATCATCTTTTGCCTCTTGGAGAAGCTAGGTAGACCCTCAACTTTAATTTTTTCATGAAAATTTTATGGTGCTTTACGGGAGATACCTGGTTTAGTAAAACCCTAATCTTGCTTTGCTTATAGAATTAATTTCTCTCAAGGAAAAAAAATATCTCAAGGAAATTTAAAAAAAAATCTCTCTAGGAAATGTTACAAAAAAATTAGACCAAATATTACATAATAATTGTGTCAATTGGATTTGAGTTGGCGGGGTTTATTCAATCCAAAGATTTAACTAATCATTAATTTAGGAATGACCTTTCTTTATTAGATTTAAACAAGAATTTGAATTTTAATAGGACACAATGGAGAAAAATGATTCATGTAGCCGACCCCACGTAGTGGGATAAAGGCTTGATGTTGTTGTTGTATTAATTTAGAAGAAGGGTATCATATTTTGTATTGTTAACAAAGGCCGGATTGGTTTATTGTAAAAATGCCACTTTTAAGTTAATTGTAAGAGAAAATATTAACATAAAGGATGAGATTTAAATAAATTTTTGAATCTTAACAAGATACAATAAAGAAAAAAAGATTCAAATAGCCGACCCCACATAGTGAGATATATGTTTGATGTTGTCGTTTTCGTTGTTACCCACCAAGATTTGATCCAAACTTGATCATAGAGCCAAAAAATGTGCTTTCATAGAACATGCCTAAAAAAAAGAGCTTTAAAATGTTATAATCCCCTAGAAGATAATTTCATATTAATAAGAATGTTTCCTTTTGGTTTAGGATTTAAAATCAAATATTTTTGTCAAATATTCTCTTCAAAGGGAGAAAGAGAGCAAGCTAGAAAATCTTTTAGATACAACTCTATATCCTTTACCAAAACTGATTCTCTTATCTCCAATCACATTGTTTGACAAACCAAAACAAGATGCTCATGATATGAAAAATGAAAAATTAAGGGCCAAAGCAAATTTAACTAAACATGGATAAATCACAAGCAGTGGGGGGGAGGACACTACAAACTAAACAACTTATTCCACTCATTGATATTTGAAGAAAAAATGCCGCCTCTTCCACATCCAACATCAATGCTATTTCTTTTCCATCCCCAACATAAATAGAACAAATTCAAATACTTAAAAAACAACAAATTAACTCAATGATCACCAAAATGAGAGAAATTAAAAGACAGACAAACAATATAAAACACATTCACCTGACAAGAGAAGCATTTTCCAACTAAACTCTGAATATAATCAGCTATATCCTGCCTTCGTTTCCTTGATCCTTCATTAGGCTGAATGCGGGAAATAAGCTCTGCGACCCTTTCTTCAGCCTCCGACCATCCTTTATAATCAATAGCTCGTCCCACACAAGTTTCTCTGTCCGGCAGAAGTCCAGTAGGTAAAATGCAACTCATCTCTGCCCAACCTCCAATGGCATCTCGTACAACCTAACTAAAGTCAATCAAAGCACAAATTCCAACCCAAGTATCTCTTTCCAGTTGCCACCATTACGGGAAAGCATCAATCCAAAAGAATAATAACAACAATAAAAAGGAGCTATCTTGGTAAAATTGCTCTCATCAACAATCTCTAGAAATGAGAAGAAACTGTAACCAAGACGCCTCCTTTCCCCTCTTCTAATCAGATAACTCACAAACAATGCATATATTTTAATCCCTAATCATTGCAGCAATATCTGATTGCCATATTATCTGATAATCCACTACCAAAATCTGAAAAATGGAAATCTCACTCCACAAGAATGTATAGAAAGGAAAAGAATTTGTCACTCGGACGCCTCCTTCCTCGCTTCTAATCAGAGAACTCGCAATTGATTCCGATATCGTAATCTCTAATCATAACAGCAAAATCGGGTTGGCAGATTATCTTCTAATCCACAGCAAAAACGGGGAAATCGCTCTTTCTATGAAATCATGAAGCAAACAAAATAAAAAATAAAAAAAACCTCCCTTTCTCAACAGCCATGAAAAATCACTCAAAGACAAATCCAAATCTAACTGACAGACCAATCGGCGTCGTGGAAACAAATTCTGAAGAGATATTTGTTCTGAATAAACGACGCGAGAGAGAGAGAGAGAGAGAAGCGGCCGCAGGATTAGGGTATACCGTTAATGAACGGAGACGAAATAACATAGTAAAGAATACAGCTTTAGAATGCTTAATGGCATCCATTTGATCTGCTTTGAACATCGGGCGATTAACAGGTGATGGATACGTGATGAAATCAACCTTTGCTGTACACTAAGAACTAAAAAAATGAGATTTTTTTTTGGAGCGGGTCTATCTACCTGTTGTCATTTCCAAGAGAGTGTTTGAAGACGGAATTATACTTCGGCGGAACCTATAAGTAACTATATTTTGGCGGAACCTAGCGAGGCATCCACCGGCATCAAGCCCACGCTTACGTTACCCCACTGAAGAGGCGAGGCCGTAGTAGAGTATAACGAGTATTTACCTATAATATACATAATATTTACTTTATATATATATATATATATATATATATATATCATTCAAACTTTTGAAGGCTACGTTTCGGACGGCTTTCTTACCGCTTATTAAATTAGCTTTCTGATAAAAAAAATAAAAAAAATTTATTAGAAAGCAACTTTAAGAAGCAGTTAGAAATCCATCCCAAACAAAGCCTAAATATATATATTTAAATAAATTACATATTTTAAATATGATTAAAACACAAAATATTATGTAAATAAATATTAAAATTAAATATTAGATATATAATATTTTTAAATCTCCAAAAAATAAATATTCCAAAACAATTCTATGTACGTTTCATTCAATTTTATGAAATTAAATAAAATTAAAATAATAGCGTGGTATTTAAACAGAGAACATTGAAGCCAATATATTACGAATAAACTTTTAATAAAAATATTTTTATTAATGTTTAAAATTAACATTTAAAAAAAGGGTTGAAATGTAAGCAATATGAGTTGGAAAGATTTGTAAGGAATTTATGATTCAAAATAATCAAACTATTAAAAAATAAAAAAAAATTACCCAAAAGCAAAAGATATAGAGCAATTTTATTGCATCTAATACAAATTTAAGCAATCTTTTAAAAAATGGTTGTTTTAACACATAATTATACTTTTGTTTGGGATATTTTTTTTACTGCTTTCTAAATTAATTTTTTAATATAAAAATTTTTAGTCCAAAAAATTTTATATAAAAAAATTGATTTATAAAACAGTGAGAAAGCTGATCCAAACAAAATATATATCTCAAAATTTTAAAAATAACTTTCAAAGCAGCTAAGACATAAATTAGAAACTACACTCAAAAAAAGTTTTAAAAAATTTATTTGTGGTTTTAACATTTTAGGTGACGAAATCAAATTTATATATTTTTGTTTGGAAATTTTGCTATGAATTTATCGAATAAAAAAGAAGTGGCATAAATTTTTTTTGTATATAATATTTTTAAATACTGTTGACAAAGGTAAACGCCGTCGAAATAGACCGTTGGCGACTCCGTCAGAAGCAGTTACGGCGAAAGAGGACCCTGAAAAACCTAGGATCCATGGCGGTTTGATGTTAAACGAACGGTTAGATCTTTTGTGCTCGCATGCGGACTCTGCGCATAATAATTAAATTCATTGTTGACTAAACCATTCTCTACTTTAAACGTTAACCAACCAATCGCTTGTCTAAAGTCGAAATTACAAAGAAAAATTGTCAGTTTATACAAATATATAATTCAATAAAAAATTGTAATATTTATTTTTAATTTATAGACAGCTGCATTTCAAAAATATGCCATGAAAGATGTAAATAAATGATTCGACTTGTCAACCCAATCCAAACCTAACCCAAAAAATTTGAATTTGACCTATTTAACAAACAGATGAGATCCAAGTCTAGAATTTCAAACCATTTATTAAAATGATTGGTTTGGACCGACTACATGATTTTGATTCGAAAATGGCCTACATAAATTTTTCCTTTAAATTCTTTTATTTTGCCAATATGGTTCTATTTTTTTATCAATTAACGTAAAATATATGGTCAAAAAATTATAAATATTTTTTTAATCAAAATAAATTATCGGGTTGAATTCATGTCATTCGGATTGCTAGCTATTCGGTTTCAAATCAACATTTTTTATCCATGCATTAAACAGGTCAAACTCATGTTGATCAACTTCAGGTTAGGCTGATTTCAGGTCAGACATGAGTACCTGACCCAACCATTTAACCTATTTTAACACCCCTACCACGAAGAAAGAGCAAAGTGCTCCACATTATTGTGAAATGAGCAAGTTGTTTAAAGCTATTTAACACATTTTAATTAAGCTGGTAAGAAACAATCATATATGTTACCTCATTTAGTGTCTAACAACAACATTCACATTTCTATTCAATCTACCAAAGGCAGATTTGCAGAAATAGAGAACAAGTTTACCCTACACCTTCCCTCAGGCCTGTAGCAGAACAAGAGAATTTGTAGTAAAAATATTCGCTCAGGATAACCGATCAAAATTTTTAGTACTAATTTTTTTTTTTTTTCTTTTTGTGTAGCACAGCACAGAGAGAGGTTAGAGTAGCAGGATGAATGAGAGGAGTACCTATATATTGTCATCTTCATTTCCATCTTGTGTATCCATGGAGGGAACTTCATGGCGAGGCCTGCTGAATTTCTCTCGTAGTTGCTTTATAGGGATGAAGTCGCCGGTTGTATCGGTGCCATAAAACAGAAAGGAAACATATGGATGATCAAATCTAGTCTGCATGCCATAGTTCAACTCAGTACTAGTTTGAAGAAATCTGTTTGGAAAAATTTTGGAACTCACCAAATCTGGTTTTTCAGTGGCACTGAGATTCTCCTCTGCAACTGTTGGAAGGAGAGAACCAAAAGAAATGTTACATATGGCTATTGGAGATACAATATATAACATATAATAAGATCAAGTCTTTTATCTTACTACGTGGGGTTGACTATATGAATCCTTTTTCTCTGTTGGAGATACAATATATGTTACAAAATTTTTATCATGCAAAAGATATTGGTAAGTTTACACATAAGCTAAGCGAAACAATTGGATAGGTACATGCCTTGAAAAATTATTCTATGGGGACGCCAAACGCCATTCGGAGACCAACAAGAATGCGCCACATCACCTATATGCTTGATGCTGCTTGGAACCGCTCGGTATCGCGGCTAAGTACTACTGACGCCACGTCCAAGTCTCCGCACAGTATAATTTCTCCTCTTCATCAAGCACTCAGTGAAAATCTCAACTGAAATGCTTTACATGCATATCTAAATAATGATCCCAAGTAAATATGTTATTTATTAAATTGTGGAGCTTAATTTATGTTGCCGGTTGTGCATGTAAAAAGATGTTTTGAAGAGTGTAATTTTCAGTTGCCATAATTATTTTTTCATTAGAAAGAGAGGATGTGTCATCATTATGTGATACAAATGACATGATGGTTGTGAATTTCTCTATAAAATCTGCAATGGTGGTAACATAATGTATCCATCAATTGGGCAAATATATATAGAATTCTTGGTATGCTTTGTGTGTTTTTCTTTATATTTCAATCACTCTCAGTTATTTAAATTAGGTCTTACTAAACACCGCTGATGATCCATCCATACAAGACAAGTCAAGGTTCATCCTAAGAAGCAAAATTGAGTAGCATGATAGAATTTAATGGATAAAATGCCACTACACCTGTTTTTGATACTAAGGTTTTGTTTGGGACACCTTTCTTATTACTTCTTAAAACAATTTTTTAGTATAAAAATTTTAATTTTTGTACTAAAAAGCTGCTTTAAGAAACAGTAAAAAACTGCCCCAAATGAAGTCTAAATTTGAAGATGAAGAAATGCATGCTATACAATCCTAGTCCTGGCATCCCCAGGTAGCTAAACTTTCATTCTGAGCACAAAATGCTTCAACGAAATCTAAGAGTACCAAGAGAGCTGTAACAACTGTAAAAACACAAAATGCTTCAACGAAATCTAAGAGTACCAAGAGAGCTGTAACAACTGTAAATCAACCACTTCCCGATATGTAGAAGTCCCTTCTTAAGCTATTCCCTCATTTCATGTGGCAAATTAATGACAAACTTAAATGCATTGATGGATTAGAATTTTGTATCACTTGTACAAAAGGATTAAGAGCTCTGAATCTTTAGACAAACGAATGGTCAAAAGAAGGAGCATGCACAAAGACTGGCAGAGTAATTATGAATGATCAACAAAATGAAAATTTCTTTGGACAAAATAAGAAAAATGTGATGTGATTAATATTTTTGCTCCTATTTCCAATATCATTATGCCATTCTAATCAAATCAAGCAATTGTTTCAAGGAACCATAAGCAGAATTAAGCACATGTGAGGGATGATACCAACATGACAAATTAGTGACATATTTAGCAAGTCTAATCAAACTGCGAACTATAAAAAAGTACAAAGCATTTCAAAATGTAATTTTTCTTTGTGTTTCAAGACAATGCAATAAGGTGGCTGATTATTGTGCCTCCTTAGCTGTTTTTGGTTTTTTTTTTTTATTCTACTTCTTTTAATGATCTTCCTCCATCATTTGTTAAGATAGTTACGGAAGAATGTGATAGATTAGCTATTACTTAGTTTTTGTACTTCCTTTTTTTATATTTAATGCATAATTTCAGTTTCTTCAAAAAAAAAAAAAAAAATCAAACTGCGAACTACAAAAAAAGCAAGACCTGAATTATGTCCTCTGTACCGGTCAGCTGACAAGGGCTGGGGTTTAGTTATGGTCTTTGTATGTGTCACAGATAACAATGGACGTATTGAAAGAGATCGAAACTTCAACTCTAAGCTAATCTGTGCTCCTTTCAAAGGGATGAAATATTACAACATCAAAATATAATATCCACATATGCTGAGGAAATCGAAGTATACAATCTTTGTTAGACTATTTAGCCTCCTAGAAACTAAATTTCAAGTGGACCTGCAACTCTAAGAATTTAACATAAAAGTGCATTTTAAAAAGCAAAAAAGACGGCTCATTAGGTGATCCAGAAACATACAAAAACAGTCTGCAATGTAAAAAATGCTGTAAATCAGAAATTAGAGAATGAAGAATTCATGCAGTGAAATATGATTGCCAGGAAATAAACAAAAGGATTTTGTAGGGAATAGGCTAACTTAGTTTTTGGTATAAAATTGCTGCATGTATCTGTAAAAAAAATCAAATCACATCAATAAACACAGCTATAATTGCATAGACAAACAGCACCAATCAAATAGCCCAAAACCAGGTAGTAACTACTGATGTAGAAAAGATTCTCTCGCCATCAGTATGTTTCCATTCTGAAGATATGATTTACTTTATAGGTGCTAAATGGAGCTAGAGAACTACATTATAGACAAACAAAAGAAAATATAACATTAGAGGATCAATATTATTATACCATATGCAACAAGCAAGTTTGGGTCGTCATGAACATCAACCAAAACCTGTAAAATTGGGATGGATTTCAGTATGCAAGTAGGTTAGGAATAATTGCTGGCATCAAACTTAAATTCAAAAAAAAAATGTTTGATTAGTGTTCCAAACCAAACACCAATTAATTAATGGATTTAGATAGTTAATGCATAAGTTAATTAAGCTAAATCATATTAATCAATATAATTTATGATAGCATAAGACAACCATTCTTCCCCCCTCAATTTTTTATTTTTAACATAAGTATCTCTCTCCCAGCCACTTTCATTTCTTATAATATTTTTCTTTTTCGACTTTTTATATTATCATTCTATTTGATCACCAAATGTCATATATATTTGCCTTTTACACCGCCTCTCACCAAGCCTAGAACTCTAGACCTTGCAATTGGGGCCAAAGCCCTCAATCAACTAATCTAAAGTTAGTGCCCCTTTCATTCACTACTACTGTCATGCTATAAATCAACACTTCATCATCAATGCTATTGGCATCATTTAGTGCACCCATCATCTTTCTCTTCATCCACCCATGTTTAATCTATTAATAAAGTCTGATTGTAAAAAAATTGTTGCAGCACATCTCATTCAAGTCCCAGCCATATTTTCCTTCCCTTAGCGCAACTCACGCCCAATGCATATTTTTTAACTTTTATTATGTTAAAGCACATGAGAGTATTGGGTTTTGTCTTACATCGAATCTATGAAAAATATATTGTTGTGAATTACTAAATGATTAATTTTCACCCATAAGTTTAAGATTTTAAGTTGAAAATGTATTTGAGCACTAGTATATCAACCAAACTTTGGTTTTCATTTGGTTCTCATTCTCTCACAAGTGTTGTTAAAGTTGATAGTTTGTCTATGACTCTCATTAGTTTGGCCTCTATCATAGTTAAGCAAAATTTAAGGGCGAGAGACTCCCAGCTCTAGTGCATGACACTTCATGGTATTAAAAAAAGGGTTTCTTGTTGAAGGAGGTGTGATGGTTTATGTAGAGAGCATTTATGAGGGGTGAATGTTAAGACAAATGAAAGTATTGATTTTACTTCCATATATTATAGATGAAAAAAAATGTTTATATAAAAACAACAAATGGTATGGCCTTACTTATAGGCTTAAGTCTTTTGATAGAAAATGGACTAAACTACTAATGCATCAGACTCAACATCAATCCCCATTTGATTTATATTATGTAACAAATAATGCATGTAAAATCAAAAGACTGTCAAGCAATCTTCCATAACCGAAATATATCATCAATCCTACTTTTTAACCGCATCATATCTTCTTCTTTTCCATCCAATTGGTATTCTAAATCTATTAAGACCCAATCATTGCCCTTCATAAAATAAACTATAATCTTACCACGAACTTTTCAGAGTTCACGCTGCCAACTTAACATGTTCATGACTTACTATGTAGAGGATTTCTAAAAGTGGACAGCATGCTATAATGGCTAGATTCAAAGTTCTTAATGAAAATCTCCAACAACAACAACAAGCATTTATCTCACTACGTGGAGTCGGCTACATGAATCCTTGTTTTCCATTGTGTCCTATTAAAAGTCAAATTCTCGTTCAAATCTAATAAAGAAAGATCATTTCTAATATTTTCTAACCAAGTCTTTTTAGGTCTGAAACAAAAATCTTTATTTTCATTTAGGGTGCTAAGGTCACTACAATCAATCGTATTTTCACATTGGACATCCATTAAAAAAACTTGTTCATCTCTAAACATAGTATAAAAACTATAATTAAAGAGCATATCGAGATACACACTTTTACCACTAGACTGCAGAAATACTTTTCCCTAAATATGAAATTATGAGATGAAGGTTAAAGCATGAGCAATCTAAATTGTAGCTCGTAGAGCCACCCCACTCTACATAGCATTAAGTCATATTTATATTAGATACATTCCTATCTTAAGCAGATAATATTCATCTTGCGGGTCATAAATACCTGATAAAACGGTTGGTTCGGCCCTTGAGATAACTTTTCAACATTTGCAATCCCCATCCAGGAACTTGATTCACAGCATATAGGATCCATGCCACAAATTACTGCACGATAGCCTGCAATGCAGTAACCAAAATACTATGGTTATTTCGGCATTTCACCTAGAGAGTCTCTCATATAAACTCTGAAATAAGGTTCTTCCCTAAACCATTTAAATGCCCTCATTGCATATGATCCACGAGCATTCTTTATCATTAACAAATACAAATACAACACTCTGTACACAACGTATTGTACTTCTATCAGGGGATATTAGTTAAATAGCATTCCTCCTAGCCATTAAAAACATGAGAATGAGGCTGTCTATATAAATCAAGATAACTACGAAGAATATGAAAAAAAAAAATTTAAGTTAATCCTGAAATCGCATAGAACAAGTTATTAAACTCAAATAAGAATCACTAGCGCACATTGGGTCCAAAGTCCAAACTCTGAAAAGTGCTTAAGATAAACTACGCAAATCATTATCTGGCAGAATTTAGAATATTTCAAACAAAAGCAGTAATAATACTAAGGCTCTTCAAGATAACTAGTAAATATGAGCATGCACTCAGTTCATGCAACTCGAAGGAAAAATCTATAGATATGATCAAGAAGAAAATCCGTCTAGAAAAGAATAAAGAAATAATGTCTTCACAAGTAATAACGAGTTAAAACTTGGACAGCTAACTTTTCTAAGAACAAATATCATAACTTATGCACAATATATTTTAAATACAATATCTGAGAAGTAACTCATTTAGTTGACTGCTATGAAAATAGAAAAACCGTGCTGCTATTAATGTAGAGTAGGATGATAAAAATCCAAATATTGGTAATAGTAAATGGTTTGTAAAAAAAAAATTGGTTCCATTGAGGTCGCCAGACAAAGACAATAACTTTCCAAAACTAAACAAAGGAGCCCACACGAAAAAGGTGGGGTTTTCTTATGAAATTATACTATAATTCATAATTAAGATTATAAAGTTGTATGCATATTTGCTAAAAATAAAGAAGCGAAGAGGTGAAAGAGGAAGAAGAACAAATAACTACATGCATTCAATTTGGTGCGATACGCATATACAAATGAATCAAAAGAGCACTCAATTGCCCATACATATAAGTTGCAGTCATTAACGTTTAATCATGATTTTTACTTATAGAAATAGGATTAATCAAAGAATAAATCCAATCTAATCCTACCTTGAAAACAAGTCAAATCCTATCCAAACATTCAAATCAAAATTAATCCTACAAGAATAATTCAACCTAATAAAATAAATCAAATAAAAATAATAGAGAGTTCGACAATAGTTAAATATGGGCCTAAAATGATATTAAAATTAGTTTGGTTCAGCTCCTTCGTACCTGATTTGAATCCTTATAATTAGCTTATAAAAATCCAAAATTTTATAAGCCAAATTAGCTAATTTGTATTGTATCAATTCACCTAGCTAACAATAATCTTCTCATAAAGAGTTTGGTAGAAGATAGCGGGGGAGGAAGTTACATTGTGGGATCATTTGATAAAATAAATGTCTCCATGTATTGCAGAAATATAATAGGAGGAAAAAGTCCAATGACTAAACAAATTTTATAGCTTCGTTGATGGGCAACTCCATACTCCATGCGCCAGAAAAATCTTAACAATTTGGATCAACAGCAGCTTAGGTAACCAAAATGCCGGTAGAAACAAAAATTCAATCTCAGATAGAAGCAAACTGAAGCAAACTATAAGTTTTGTAAGTAGTCTATATCTTTCAGTGTAATTAATCATAGAAAAAAGAAAATAGTAATAATAATACACATATAACCTTTAAAGCTACAACTCACATGTCTCCTGCTTCCATGTTCATGCCTCACCCAAGCATCATAAGAAAGTAAGATCAAATGGCTCACATACTCACTCTCTCTTGATATTTTACCAAAGCATGACCAAATGGCTCAAAAATCTATCCTTCACCTTGAGTTTTCAACCTTGCTTACTTCACAATCTCCACGTCTTCGTGCTAAACCCAGGCACCACCTCCAAATCTTGCTCCCAAGTTGCTTGTGTATGGTGCCTCTAGAAACCCCAAACTCTCCTGCTCGACTCACTCTCCCTCGTCTCCCCTATACAGTTTGCCTCACATCTCTCTCTTGTGCGCTCCTTCTTACTCCTAACTCCAAGTCTCCCTCACGTAAAACTTCCAAGCCAAATAGCGCCCTCCAACCGTCAATTAAAGGCTTTAGTTTCAAGCTAAAAGCTTGGAATAAATAAAGACATCCCCCTCCTATAAGAAGCAATTATCGCAATAGCACCACCATAAATCTATGAATGCGACACCACACGAAATCATCTAAATGTCATTCGTTCATGATATGGATGTCATCACCCACGGAACGTCGAAATTACTAAGAAAGCATCCAATGCTGGATTAGAGCGAACGCAACATTGCGAGAAGTCATCTAAACGTCATCTATAAGTAAAATAAATTGCACAGAACGTCAAAATTATCATGAAAAAAGATTCATTGCCTAGACTGCCGCATGAGTCAAAACACAAAATTGCCAATGTGCAAGGTGACGACATGCAAATTGAGACGTACGGAAAATGAAGAATTACGTGAGAGTCAACACATTTTTAAAAAAAAAAACGAGAGATTTAACTTATACATACATACATACATACATACATACATATATACATACATACATACATACATATACATACATACATACATATACATACATACATACATATACATACATATATATATACATATACATATATATACATACATATATATATATATATACATATATATATATATATATATATATGCGTGCGCGCTACCAATATGTGGTGGCATGTTGTTTTACATTTTAAATATAATGATCTTATATTTTACTTAGTTCGACCAAAGTTGGCTGATTCGAGGTACCTTTAATTGATTTAATTTTGTCATTCTATACTTCTTTGTAATCATTAATGTTATGTGTCAGTTGTGGTCAGAATCTATTGAAACTGTTTTCTGTAAAGAAAATTTGAGTAGTAGAATTTAAATAACCAAATGATGACAGATTAAGCCATATGATCTACAAAAAACGAAGTAAAGTTTGAGTTACCTCAAAATTTACTGAAGAATGGTAAACCTCGACCAAAACTAGGAAAAGGATAAATAAGGCAATATAAGGAAATGCTTTCAACAAGACAAGTGTTAAGAGACAGCAAAACCCTCACCAAATATCTTGTGCCTTACTTTCTCACCCAACCGATATGCATACTGAGCATTCTCATAAGCTAAAGCTTTTGCAGATGCAGCCAAAGATTCAACCTGCAGTCAGTCAGATACCATTGTATAAGACTCCAAGGGCATTTATTAGGCATCTAGAAGAAAAAAAAAAGGACAAAAAGATGCAACATCCCACAAAAAATAATTTTTTATTTAGCACTTTTAATACCTCAAGCTTTGAGATCTCATCCCGCAACTTTGCGGCAACTACATACTTTTCATTATCAATAGCTTTCTGAAGGTCTGCACTGCAAATAATAAGTTTTCACAATTGTAGCTCTTCTTGGAGTATAAAATGATGATGGAAAAAGCTACCTATTAAAATTTCAATGAAAATGAAGAAAAATCAACATTGCCTAAACTTCAGCATACCATCTATTAAAAATTGATCTTAAATGCAATAAAAAAAATTATGCAGCAAGAATCTAAACATAAGTATAATCAACTCAAAGGAAAATGGAGAAAATCAAGTCAAAATACTTACCGCAATCGTAATAAGTTTAATGCTTTGTCTTGAGCCTCACTTCTTGAGGATCCCCTTTTAGCTTCTTGCTGTTTAATTATTTCCGTTTCAACCTTCAAATAGTAATAAGGATCCATTGACCTTCTATTATTATTCAAAAATCTAGATTGAAAAAGACTACAACCAATATACCTCATTAAGCTTGTTTCTTAATTGTTGTGCGACATCAAATTGTTCTGTATTTAGAGCATACTGCAAAACATAATTGAATATGAATAAAAGAGGTATAAATTTTGTTCTTTATAAATGAGAAGTAGAATTCTCTTAAAAAGTTGTTTATAAAATAATACAATGGAGAAGAAAATAGAATTCACAAAATGGAAACAACTTGCGCATGAATATTCCTAAGAACTCAAAAGCATTAAAAAGGTCACCTGTATCCGAGTCTCTAAGTCCAACTGAAAAAAGAATACTACAATCTCCTCATTAGTTGCTTCACTACGCTCTATGCTTGCATCCATTTTTTTACCACCTCCACTGAACAACCATGTAGCTCCGATCCTTGAATCCAGCCTCCTGGCTCTATTAGTGTTTATTGAGTATAACCTCAGCATGCATTGACGCCCAAAGCAGGAGCCATCAACCATAGGATTTATGCCACTCCTATTTAAAAGCTTCAAATAATCTTTGAATAAAGAAACTGCTCGGCAGCTCCCACCACTTGCCAAGGCTGCTAAGGAGCTCACTGAAACACCCTGCATGAGTTGATTTGACAAAGCGCTCAACTCAAATTCTTTCCCTGTGAGATTCACATAATCCATATGCTTCCGCATTCAGAAGACAAGTTTTTTCTATTTTATATTTTAAGTATTGAAATTGCTTTAATTTATCAAAAAGATTAACAATAATCAACAACATTTGTGCTTATCAATAAGAGCAGAAAGCATGAACTAGGTAAGGAGATACATGACCACAAAGCGAAACAAAACAGGATAACTTGAAATAATTGGTGAGTTGGGAACCGAAGGGTCGCTTCAAGAAGCCAATACTCCACAGAAATAGAACAATACAAATCTGGCTTCCTATTTAAACAAGCTTTAGCTTAAATCCTATCAAACAGAATTTTGGGGGCATTCCATCCAACTGCTTTGATAAATCCAGTTTCAGCCCCGTATTCTATTAAATTCAAGATTTATTAAATCTCACCATTCAAAGAACTTAACGAATATATGCAAATTCTACTATCTGTATAAACAATTAACAGCTGCCTTTTCTCCTATTTTCTTAGTGGGGAATCTTTTCTCCAATTTGAGGAGTGAACATTTCGCAATTCATAGAGAAATAGTTTAAACATTATAATATGAAGCAAACAATGCTCGAAGAATTCAATTAGTCCACTAAGCAGACAAGAAGACGATAAAAATATTAAAAAAATTAGAGCAGCGTGCGGGAGCACATAGGAAAAGAAGTCGCACCAGTCAAAGAAAGTCGAAACCCTAGAGCATTAATGGAGTAGCCTTCGACCACTTTCCCTTCTTCCTTGTGCAGAAGTTAAAACCCTAGAAATCTGATGCGTTGATAGCCGACCTGAGGAATTAGGCGCTCCAGCCATTTCCAGTACGGAGACGATATAGTTATTGTGAACTGCTATTTTCATCTACATAATTTAATATATTTTAGATATTATTTACGTTTATATATTATGAAAAAAAAAACCTCAGAAAATCCAGATTAAAAATAAATAAATAGGCTTGATAATTAACTAGATGTACAAAATATTATTATTTTTTATTTTCAAAAACTTAAATTTAAATAATACAAATAATTATATATAATGATAAATAGAATGCATTATTATATGTAATAATAGGAATATTTTATAATTTAAAAGAAATTTGGTGAAAATCCTAATTAAAATATAATTAGAATAAAAAAAATTTCTGGGGGAATTTATATGATATATATATAATTTATTTATTTAAAATATTAAATCCATTAGGCCCCATAATGCCGTATTTTATAAGTTTATTCAGTCCTTACCTTTAAAAAAAATCAAGAAAATAAGGAGTTCAGTAGCAGACATCATTGGCATTTATCGAAATCCCAAATAGCTAGAATTGAAGAGCTAAATTCTTAGATAATTAATCTATTTATTATAAAACATATATAGTCATGAATAAGGTTTATTAAGGCTTCATTTAAAATGATTTTTTTAGTACAAAATTCAAAAAATTTATACTAAAAAATTATTTTAAAAAATAGTAAAAAAGTTGTCCCAACTGAAGACAAAGGCTTTGTTTGGGACAGCTTTTTTATTGCTTCCTAAAGTAGCTTCCTAGTATAAAAATTAAAATTTTGTACTAGGAAGCTGTTTTAAGAAGCAGAAACAAAGCCGGCCCAAACGAAGTCTTAGGGACAGCTTTCATACTGCTTCCTAAAACGACTTTCTAATATAAAATCTTCTAATTCAAGAAAGTTGTTTTAGAAAGCAGCAAAAAAGTTGTCCAAGACTTCATTTGGTTACCTAGAATTTGTTTGAAAGAATGAAGGTTTGTATCGGAAAATCCAATACTAAAAAAAGGCTTTGAAAATAGTACAAAAATGAAGTTCTGTAAAAAACAATTTTACAAAAATATCACATACAAATAACAACCAAAAAATAAATTTTTCATTTCAAAACAAAAAAGATAAAATTAAGTTGTCTCAAGAGAGGCCTCAGTATATGGACTTAGCTTTTTGCTGGAGCGTATAACAGTTCCAAGCCAGTCATCAGTTATTTCACCTTTCAGAGCTCTAAGGGAATGTTCAGTGCCAACCTGCATACACAGAATCACATGCATGACAAGAACCAGAAAGGAGAAATTTTTTGTTGGGAGAAAAAATGGTGAGAATAATCTGTTCAGATTTTGGTGATATGAATGTTATAATTTTTTATTTAGATTGAGAAAAGTGCAACAGAATAGTTGATTGATTATGACTAACTACTTGCATATTATAAAAAATATATACATCAAAATAATTTCTGGGCTATTTATGGAGTCATTTTAGTCTAAGATTATAAACATGTTCAATATAATCCAAAATAGTCCATTTGAATTATTTTGGAACAAATTTAAAGAGTAAAAAAAGTACATCAAACACATGATAGTTTGAGACTAAGGGTTCGTTTGCGATAGTTTTCTTGTTGCTTCTTAAAACAGCTTTTTAGTGCAAAAATTTCTTAAACTAAAAGATTTTGTACCAGAAAACTGCTTCAGAAAGCAGTAAGAAAGCGGTCCCAAACGAAGCCTAACTGCCTAAGGCTTCGTTTGGAACAGCTTCTTTATTGCTTTGGAAAACGGCTTTTTAGTACAAAATATTTTTATTCAAAAAAATTTTGTACTACAAAGTTATTTTTAGAAAGTAAGAAAGCCGCCCCAAACAACGTCTAAGGCTTCGTTTGGGAGGGTTTTCTTATTGCTTCTTAAAGCAACTTTCTAGTATAAAAATTAATTTTTGTACTAAAATTTTCTTTAAAAAAACAGTAAAAAAGCCGTCGCAAATGAAACCTAAAATGAACCAATAAATAGTTCAGAGATTGTTTTAACCATTCTCTATATTGTATTTTCTCAAAAAAAAAAAAATCAAATAATTTTGATAATCATCTGAATAAATTTTGAACAGAATATTCTTTCCCAATTTTTTCCGTTCTAAAACTCATTCCAACAAAATTTTGATCCCAAGTTTTACCCTTTTTGTTTCTACAGAGAAAATATTCTCACCTTGGTTATGTATACATTGATGCCGAGTTTAGCAATCACTGCTGCTTCTAATATCTTTGTCTCCATTCCACCAGTTGTGTCGTGAGAAGCAACTGTTATCTCCACTGCAGGTAGAGCTCAACGTAAGAAACATAAGAATCTATGGAAGGCTGGAAGCTGCAGAGACAGCTTTTTTATTACTTTTTTAAAGTAACTTATTAATAATTAATTATTTTTTTTTACAAAAAAGATTTTTAAGAAGTAGTAAGAAAGCTGTCCCAAAAGAATAATCCCAAACAAAGACTTAGGCTTCGTTTGGGACGGCTTTTTTACTGCTTTCTAAAACGGAGTTTTAGTACACAATTTTTTATTTTTGTACTAAAACTCCGTTTTAGAAAGCAATAAAAAATCCGTCCCAAACGAAGCCTTAGGCTTCATTTGGAACAGCTTTCCTATTGCTTCATACAAAAGCTTTCTAGTACAAAAATTAAAATTTGTATATTAAAAAACTGTTTTAAGAAGCATAAAGAAAGGCATCCCAAACAAAACCTTAGCCTTAGGCAAGAACCAAAAACTGAAAGCACCATAGCTCAAGAAAAGCAGTTGCATATCACTTAGACACTATAAAAATTTATTTTCTCTATTTATGATGCTAAAATGTAGGTTCATTGTTTTCTTCAGTACCAATATTGCAGGTGAATTGCTCAAAAGCTTCATTTAAGACAGCTTTTATGCTACTTTCTAAAGCAGCCAGCTTTAGAAAGCAGCAAGAAAGCCATCCCAAATGAAGCCAAAGTCTCACTCTTGTAATATATCATGTCTTTTTTACCGCAATTCATTTATTGTACTATTTTTCTACGTCAAATCGTACATATGATAGGGCAGGGTCAACGAATGTAGCGGGAAGTTAGATTGGTAAAACAAGTTATAGGAGAACTTAGAAATCGTGTGTCTGTAATGAATATTATAGCTTTTAATAGGTAGTTAATGTATTTTGAGTCTTTATGACATTATAAATATCTCATTGGGAATAGTAGAGTATAAGACCTAATTATAGACTTAAAACAATAAATAATCTCACTGAGAAGACAGAAACTTGTGACTGGCAAATAGTTGGGAATGATCTAATTGTAGAATTACAACAATAATCTTGAATTATAGGCTTGCAGCAATGCCATGCAAAGACATCACTAAATGGTCTCAAAAAGTTTTCGATTATACTTGATTAAAAATTTTAGGTTCATTTGGACCTAGATAAAGGTCATACATGTCAATGGCACAAAATGGTGCATGGCACGGCGCACACACGGAGCTATTTGCTTGGTGTGGCGCGTTGCATCAAAATAGCGCGCTATTTGCGCCATGCAATCGTAATGGTGCATGATGTAAGGCGCAAATGGTAGGTGCTATTTTCTTAACATGATATAAGTTTCAAATTATAAATTATAATTAAATATTTTAAGGTTTATATATTAATATCACAATTAATTATTAATTAATCAAACATCACATTAATAAAATATCAAACAAATTTAAATGATTTAACTTTTTTTAGAATTTAAAGCTGTCATTTTTACTATTTGACGGGATTTAGGCCAAATTATGCTTAATCCTGCTCAAATCTATTGATTTAAGTTTCTGTAAGATCTAAAATTGTCATTTTTTTCTATTTGACATGATATTTATGCTTAAATTTTACTCTAATCAATATGTTTGTTATTTAATAGTACTTAATATTAATAAATATTTTTTTAATTAATTTACATTGTACATCATGTTTAAAATGGCGCGTCATGCGTCATAGCTCCACGGGGAATTTTGTGTCGTGGTGTGACATTCGTCGTTGACAAGTATGATTCATGCATACTTAGCATCATTGGGCTCAAATCATCAAACATTACATCTAGACTATAAATTTTCTGAAAATGGAGTATGAATGAATCTAATTCAAATATAGGGATGCTTTGAAATATGAAAATTTACATCAACACCCATACATGACTAGGGAACAATAGAGAAAAAAGATTCATGTACCCAGCCCACACAGTGGAATAAAGATTTCATGTCATTATTGTAACCATACATGACTAGATGATTTCCCTTAATTTTTTCATGAGGGGCAATTTGAAATAGTTTTGTATAACCGATGAACTAAATTAGAGAGAAATGTAATACTTTACAACTAAATTGGCTACATACAAATAGTCCGAGGACTCTTTTGGCCTTTTTCTCTCGAAATAAATCTAAAAGTGTGCGAGATTTTTATTGACTTTTAGTGGCATGGTCATATCAAACCTAACACTATTTACAACAAAAGCCTGTTCTTTCATTTCTCTAGTCTCGAAATTCCAGTAAGAGTTCATTTCATGAATTCTCTAAATTATATAGCATCACAAAAGACAAATAGTTCGAATAATTAATCTAAAATGACAACAGCTCAAATACCTTGTTTTTCCACATCCCCTGGTGTAGGGTTTATAATCGACCAATTTCCTTCTTCATCCACAGCTGTAATATACAATCAAATTTTACGCACAATTGTGAATGTAAATCCGTGGATTGAACTAATTTAGTTAGAGAAGGATTTGGTCCCAATTCTACTAAACGAAAGCTTACTGATCTCTCGGAGAAGTCTGGCGTTTGGATTTGTTGGTGGGCGATCATATACACCAAGAACATCTGTCTTCGTTGCAAAATTGTTGGCAAATCAAGGAAATCCCCCAAATACATCAAACTAAGGGCAATCCTTACTGCCTAGGTTTCCACGGAACAAACATTTAGGCTTCGTTTGGGATCTAAAATGGCTTTCCAGTACAAAAATTTCTAATTCAAGAAATTTTTGTACTAGAAAGCTGCTTTAGAAAGCAATAAAAAAATTGTGCCAAATGAAGCCTTAGTAACAAAAAATGAAAGGATAAATCTTAACCAGACATGAATATACCATGAGTTGCATATTAGGGGTGTCAATATTTGACCCGACCCGAATCCAACTCAAAATTTTTCAGTTCGGGTCAACCCGAACCGGGTCAAGTTCGAATTAGGGATTTCAACCCATTTTATAAAATCAGGTCGGGTTCGGGTTGACCCGGAAACCCGAAATCAACCCGGTTTGATCCATTTTTAATTAATTTAAGAGTGTTTTAAAAATTGTTATGAAATAAGTAAATGATATTTCTAAAAAATAATAAACATTATTGCCCAAATTAAATTAAGCTTGATTTATTTTAAATTGATTGAAGTAAATCTTACCTTAATTTGATTTAGGTTTAAATAAATTGAATTAAATAAAAAAAATTTAGTAAAACATACCTGAAGCATGTCGGGTTCGGGTAGGATCAAACAGTGTCGGTCAGTTTCGGGTTGAACTCAAACCCGACCCGTGACCCGATTTTGACAGCCCTATTGCATATAAAAGCATTGTTGAATAATGATAAAGGATACAAGGAATACAACATATTCTGGCAATAGGTGTTGTGCGAGATGGCGAATAATGACATCTCCACTTAGTATGGTGCAACCCTGGTCATTCAATCCTATCTTTAGAAATGGATTAAGAATTTAGCTTTTAAATTCCTACCAGTAAATAATCACGAATTCAAGACCTATAGCAAAAAAATGAAAGAATTCAATGGATGTTTTGTAAAATTCAACCTGGGAATGATCTATCACGGCATCTCCATGCAAAACCTAGAAAAAAATAGCCATCAAATTTCAGAACAAGGAAAAAATGCAACAGTGCCAATAATTTAGTAATTAATAGAAATGGCTGGGAAGCATGGAAACAAAGCCTCTTTAATTCACGTGCACAAGTGGTATACAATATAAGTTCGGCACAATAATGTAAGATATATTGAGATCTTATGCTTGTTGCAAAAGAAACCGTGGGTAATTAAATGAACTTGGACTAGTAAAATCTTATGTGCCCAAAATCTACATACCTGAGCAACAAAAATTTGCAGGGTTTAGTAAGGGGGTGATAATAAGTTATCTTGCAAGCTTCTTTATACTAGAGAAGTTAAAAGCTCTGTTAAACTTACAAAAGTGAGCAGTTGCAACTAAGGTTTCGTTTGGGACAGCTTTCGTACTGCTTCCTAAAATGACTTTTTAGTATAAAATTTTTTAATTCAAGAATATTATAAAGCAGTTTTAGAAAGAAACAAAAAAACTGTCCCAAATGAAGCCTAAATATCTCAGAGAAATAAGCTCTGATGACTTACAGGGACAAACCCAGCACAAAGAGCTTTAGTGATCTGAGAAACATCAGCACAAGCAATCTGCAAACAGCGGAGGATATGAATTTCAGAAGCATGCTCTCCTACTGGTTAGTAATATAAAAATCTGCAATCATATAATTTTCAAGAACAAGAACAGAACTGAAAATCGCCAGTATATTGAAGAGTTGACAAGCTATATATCAAAATTCAAATAGAATTTTTAGAATCACTCAAGCATGTTAAGTCCAAAGCAAAATGCATAAATACAACAAAAATATTCATAGATTTTACAGTTGCTGCTGACATTTCTACCCTGAGTTGACCACCCGCAAGCAAATGGTGATATCCCCACAGCAGTTATTCCTTCTGCAAGAGAAGGAAAATTGTTATCAGGACAGCTGTGTCACCTAATACCGCACTAGCTATTCAGGTTGCTACTAGTGTAGTTATATATGTACATATATTATTTTGTATGTTTCTCATTAACGAGGAACTTTTGTCAACAACAAATTTAAAATATTGTGTGTGCAATATGTTGAAGGGTAAAAATATTATTTCACCATAGAATAAATAACAAAATTACTTTTTTTTGGCTATATATACGGAGATTTTTCACTACCCAATATATTTGATCGAATAAGATTTATTTTATTCTCTAATGTAGATTCCTCGTAAGAGCAAGACACTGTAGTTAATTTCATCCCAAGAATATTTGACCCTTGAGAAAACTTTCGATTAAAATAGTGATTTACAGTCTCTTAATTAAAATATTGACCATGATTTTAGAGATTTTAATTTTACTGATTTGAACTTGGAATTGAAAAGGTGATTGGATCAAATTTAGAAATAATTTCACAAGGAAACCAAGAAACTTATTTAGAAGATTGGAATTTATATTTCAGCAATCTTAGAAAATTCCTAAGAAGGGGAGGAGTTATGATGTGGTTGAGACTTACATCATTCTCGGATTTTAGATCTAAGTTGATAGCCACCAATAAGGTAGTAACTTGAATCTAAATCTAACGGATGCAAGGGACTTATGAGTTGGGGACTTATGAGTTGGAAGCTCACTAAAGTCAACCTAAGATATGGTCTTGCAATTCTGTCTGAAAAGGATGACCAGCTAAATCTACCTTAGAGCTTTTAAACCATAGAGCCTTCATCTCAATGCATCTATAAGATAGGTTAGGTTGTTTTGATATTAAAAAATAAAACTTACAACTTAGCCATAAAAACTAAAACACCTAATCATAAAAAGTATGCATGCTGACTCAATAATGCAAGCATTTTTTAGTTGTCCAGTAATTAATGTAAGGGTTTGTATTTTATATGAGACTCACGAGACTATGCAAATAATATTTTTCAGCTAAGAAAATAAATTTGATGTTGATTTTGAATCATGTTTAAGCAAGTAATGTTTATCAGCCATAAACAAAGACGCCTAACCCTAGAAGCTATGTATATTGACTCAACAATGCAAACATTCTTTAGCTGCCTGATCATTAATGTGAGGGCTTTTACTGTACATGTGACTCAAAAGGCTGCGTAAATAATGTTTATCAGCTAAGAAAATAAATGTGTTGCTGATTTTGATCAGTCCAACCTTATAGATAAGCAATCAATCAATATTGGATAGCATACTAAGCTTCATAAGGAGGTTTTATATTTAATTTGATTTTGAAATCTTACCTTATTTTGGATAAACCATGCAAGTTTTATGTGCAAACAAAAATTCTTAGATGACTTTAATTTATCTTCCCATTTTGAGCATAGTCACTTATATGTGTAAGAACCGGGCATGTTCGGTTCAACTAAACTAGACCTCTATTAACAACGGCAAGAGCACCGGAGAAGAACAGTGGGCGAACACAGATTGAACGAACTGCATGCAGGCTCGGGAGGATCTGTCGAGGTCGGATCACTTGTTTGAGTGAGGAATCGAGTTCGGGAGTGAATAGCAACGACTCCTCGTGAGAGATAATTTCGTTTCGCTCACTCCAGTGAAATCAAGTGCGCGCAAGAAGCATTGTGCCAAGACAAAAATGTGTCGAGAGGAAGGAGGATGTAAGTTTGTGTTTTTTTGTTCATTTTGGTGTAAATTATTTCGTAATTTAAATTTAAGGAGTATACATGTCAATTGATTTCAGAGGAAGAAATTTGAGAGAGAAAGGGAAGGAAATTGGAAGGGAAGAAAGATCACCGAAGTACTTTGATTTAATTAAATTTAAATCAAGAATATTTAACTTGCACTAATTGTAGAATTTAATCGTTGATTGATGCAAATTCTTTTGTAAGATAGGTTCGTTTATTTATTTGAAGAAGTTGAATGCAGTCAAGAAGAAGAGGAAGAGTGCTCAACTACTTTCATAGAAGGTTAGTTATTTTCATTTTAATTTTTTTATACATGAATGAATTAAATTTGTTATTGAATTGAAAGTTTGGAGATTAATATTGACAATGAAACTTTAATTCTACAAAAATAGGAAGATCAATTTAGCGAATGAATTGATTGATGAACTAAGATATAGTATTGGTTTTCAAAAAGAGTTATAGAAAACAAATAGGTATGAGAGACTTAAATGTTAATACAAAACGTGTTCAAAATTTAATGGAACTATAGTTTTAAGGTATATATATATATATATATATAGAAAAACTATTTCAATAATTGAAGATTTAGAAGGATTTGAACACACGAGATAAATTAAGTGGGTAATTACAATTGTTTTATAACAATTACAATTTTCTTTTATTTTTATTATAATTATTACATATTATTGCATTATGTTGACTGAATGATTAATTGAGAAGAATAAAAAAAATGGAAATGTTAGTTATAGTAATTATCTTTTCTTCATTTCTTGCTATTATTGAACATTATAATATGCACAACTATTTGTTATAATTAAATATTTAATGTGCAATAAATTTGAGAATA